TTTTTCGACAATCAATATATGAGGTGATAATCTGATAAAAAAACGAAAATGGCCACCGCCATCTCGGTGCGAATACCTGCTGGTAAATTAGGCACAGTTCGTGTGGATCGAACTGTCGATATTTATCCGGCTTCCGTTAATAACGATGGAAATGATTTTAATCCAAATACCTCATCGTCGTCATCATGTGTTCCAACTATGGCATTACACCGTCAATTGACGAAGACAGCTGTAACAGCAAGTCCAACAACACTGATCATTGATCATAGTGAACAACTACAAGCGGAACACGAGGAGGCACATAGCTATATTCCTGTTACCAAATGGTTCGATACATCCAATGATAATAATAATAATAACAATAATAACGGTCGCGATGATGAGCAAGTATCTGATATCGCAGTTATCTATTCGGTAGTTCGAAATCCTCCAGCACGAGGAGCATCGTCACCGAAAATTGTCGTTTCGCCTACATCATCGAATGTGAAAAGTAATACTTCACGTCCATATGGAACGCAAAACTATGCATTGGAAGCACCATTAACACCTGTCGTTACACATACTTCAAAACAAGCGCAAATCAAGTCACTATCCTCGACGCGTACAAATACTGCTCCTACTCTCACTTCGACATCCGCGCCAACGTCACCTGAATTCTATTTAACGACGAATTTAATTCCAAGTAATCCGCCATCTCTACGTATACAATCATCGACTTCATTTACATCTCATGATCGACCATCAATACCATCTGTTGCTATAAAACCACGTCCATATTCTTTTCGAAGTGCCGTTAATCCGCCTAATGAAACATCAACACTACAGAAGGCAAAGACGGTAACCGTCGCAACACTTTCGACGAAATCGAATAGTACAGATAGTTCTCAATCGATACGTTCGCGTCGTTCATTTCGAGCTGCACCTCGGAATGTGATTGAACGACAACTATCGAATTTAACCGGACGTGTATCACAGTTACACGACTCATTTCTTGCTCGTCTATCAGATTTCACATCGAGTACGAGTAGTCGCCATCGAAATCGTTCATTAACATCGTTACACACGAATTCGGTTAACCCAACTAATCTTCCTGACACCGATTCACGTTCGATACAAAACTCTTCGACAGCACGTCATCAGCGACGTTCAGTTAAACCTCGACCGAAATCGGAAACTTATGAGGATCATCATCGTGTCAATGCAGGTAAAACACCTCTTGCGTCATCATCATCATTACCACTATTATCGATGGATATTAGTTATTGTTGCACGAAATTTCTTTTCTCTTTTCGCTTACTTTTTCATACACAATTAGTTAAGAACGTAATCATATTTCGATTCGATTAATGTTATGAACAACGTGTATGTAAAGAGAGATGACGCTGATGATACGTTTGAAATACACATCGATGTGTCTATGATAGACAGACAGACATCTAAAGGCGAGAAAATGACATTTTAAGATGAAAAGAAACAAATGAGAATAGAATCTTTGTTATGGGCCAAAACAATAGATGAGATTATTGTTTGACCATGAAGATAAAACGATGATGAAGAAAAATGACATCAGCATGATTGACTTGAACAAGGTTAGATTAATGAATACAGAGATGTCTTCGATTCACAGACAGAGAAAACCGATATTCAATTAGATTAATAGAAAATTAATTTAAAAAACAATATTTTCTTTTCTTTCCTATTCCGCATTTGTTTATTGATAGATTTCGAACGCAAGAAAAGAAAATGTCGATTCTCATATTACAAATATTTCTCCTCAGCTCTAATTATATCTAACTAACGTTATTTTTCAGTTTTTTTTTCTTCCCCCTTTCCGATGAGATATTCTTTCATTGAATATGCATGTGAGCGTGGCATTCAAAGCATGGCTTATGGCATTCCGATGTTATCCCAACATCCCATATCATCGTTTGGATGTTTGATGGATAACGTTTGTTGAATGTCTCGAAAAGAAAGGCGTTTTTTCTTCTTACATTACATTCTCATCAATCTTTGTCAGATTTCTATCATATCAAATTCAATGGAAAACGAATTCGCTCTTCGAAATGACTAAAAGCTCGAAGTTTGCTTTTCCTAGCTTAATTTTTCTATCAACAGAAAACGCCCTCGTCCTTGTCTGCATCATATTCTTTCAATCTATCAACAATACCCTGTCGTTGTATATTATTATGATTATGATTATTATTATTCTAACTTGTCGTGCATTCGAGAGATGTATAAGCAAACGACGAAACTAATGACAATCAGAAGAGCTGTTTATAGTAGGGAAAAAAGAGGAAAGAAAGATAACGGAATTCATCCTACACATCCTTGCCCCCCAATATCACTGGAATAGATACATGATCTGATTATTTTCTTGTCAAAGCTCACTGAAAATCACTGTTTTCTTCATTTGAATTAGCGGGTTCCTATGCTCAATTGACTCTTCTCGGTCAACCCAAACTAGCTTCAGCATCCGCTCAAAAACTAACGCCAGGTGATAATCAAAATGGTCGAGTAGCGTTTCGAACAAATCCATCGACAGGTTCTATTCCGGAACGATCGAATAGTACGATTAGCACACAATCTTTGCAAGCAACGTTTGATAACAAAAAAGTGAAAGAAAGCTATGAGCGAATTGCCAAACAACTTGAGGTAAGAGTTTCGCCGAAGGGTTTGATGATAATTTTCATGTTTTCGTTTTTCTTCAATGAAGAAATCAAAAGCAGATCTAGGAAGACAACGTACCAAAGGTCCAAATCACAATCCAACAAAAGTAGCATTTATTGAAAATCAAATTCGACAATACGAACAACAATTAAGTGAAATCAAACGACCAGGAGAGTTATCTGAGGTAAAGATTTTCTTCTCGTTTTCATTCAGTTCGAATTTGTCGATCCTTTTAGTCGTCAATCGAAATTTCATCGGTCAAACCAAGTTTTAATGTTGATAATCTCGGCAATCAACCTGATCCATCATCATCCAATCGAACATCAACTGTAAGTTCACCGGCGACAATCATCCTTTTCTCTTCTTTCTCAAAAACTCGACTTCAGACTGCATAGTTCATTTCATTCTAATCCCTCACGTCTTTTTCTACAGCAATCTGATACTCCCACTGGTCACAAGAAACAGAATTCTTTACCTGAATCATCTGTTCTACAAGTCATGAATATTGCTGTTCCGACAGCACCAAATCCGACGACATCAGTTAGTTCGTCATTGCAGAATATTAAACGTAAATTGCATTCTGGAAAGTCTGAGACTTATGATCTAGCAAAGGTAACGCAGATAGCTGAGTGACAAACTCGCAGCTATTTGATTAACTTTCTCTTATCGAAATTCTGCTTTTCTCACATTGACATTCATTCGCCTGCTCTTTATTCACATATGTAACTGACTGAATGCTAAAGCTGTTCACTATCTATTCTTGTAGTGGTATATCATTGGTGAAGTAAGTTCATTGCTGTTGTCGTCATCTTCTTTGGTTCCTCTTTCACTGCTTTGCTTTCTATGAAGCACAGAACTTGATTATTCAGTGGTTAAATCATTATTGCTTTTCTTTAGTATGGAGATCCATCTAATGCCATCCTTCCAGCAGATGAAAAACATGCATTTCGGGTATGCTGAATCATTTTCCGACTGAAATGTTTTCATCGTTCATGTACTTCTTCGTTTAGGATACACTCGATAATGACGATGAACTTACTGAAGTAAATTTTCGAGTTGAATGTTTGAAACGCGAAATATCTTTTCATGCTGTTCTTTAGTTACCCCCAAAAACATCTATATCATCTTTCGATGATATTCAACAGAATATCAATGCATCTAATTGGGTACCATTAACTATTTTTCTTAGTTTTCTTTTCAATGACCCAAACAGTGATCCAACTCATATGGTAAATAACCTGATCATCCAAGTTTATTCATATTCTTGCTGTTTGTAGCTATTCTACTTTCTAACGGAAGAATTACGCGTAAAAAGAGCTGAGAATCGAAGCGAACTAATTCGATGGATATTTGAAATTCATTCCACATTCACTATGAATGGCAGCGTAAGTATTTCATTGACTTCTCTCCTTTTCTTTGTAGAAAATGAGTATTCCTTTTAGCCCTTGTACATTGGCCTTCCACAAGTACAAACAGATTCGATACATCGTCATTTAGAAACTCAACAACAAGATATTAATGAGGATATGAAATTAGTTTTTAATGATGCGAAAGATTTTGCACGATCAGTTATTATCGATAAACAATTGCCTGAATTTAATCACAAACGAACACTAGGTAAACTGACTTTTCGCATCTAATTCTTCTTCTTATACTTTCGTGCAGGTCTCTATCGTGATGTTGATTTCTCTTCAAGTACAAAACAAACTCATTTCATCGAAGAAACACTTCGATCAAAGTTCGAATCGTATTACAAAGCGAATATTGATGATTGGAACAGTATTAAGAATTCGAAAGAGTAAATCGAAACGTTTTTGACCATCTCTCTTGTATTGTTGTTTGCTTTTCATTCAGTCTGGCATTGTTATGTTCATTAGCGACATATTTAAAACGTTGTGATATTAAAAAATGTGGAAACATTCCATTGGAAAAAATTCCGAAGTTTCTCGATCGGGAACAGAAACGTCTATTATCGAAGTTACCGCGAGCGACAGTATCGAAGCGAGTAAGTATTTTCGGAAAACAAGACAAAATATGTACACTCCGGCTTCGATTAGATTAAAGATCATCAATTGAATGAACATCAATTCACTATTCAAGTTCTATGCAAAGTTTGTTCGAAACCATTGTGGGGAATCAACTATCAAGGTTATCTCTGTGGATGTAAGTCATTGTCAGACTGAAGATTCGAAAGTAGATCATTCTTTGATTAGATTGCCAACAAGCATTTCATCGTGAATGTGCATCGAATAGTGAAAAATGCTTAAAAGATCGAAAAACTCATAGTATCACTAATCCTGTTCTAATTAAACCACGAAAAACGCCGAAAAATCCGTCGAGTAAGTGTTTCTTACCTATCCATCCTTTCGAAACTTTGTTCATCAATGAAAAACCATCTATCTCCCTCGTCGCAGGATCATTTTCAGCGGATAGTTTGATTTCTCCTTTGTTCAGCATGCATTTTTCATGTATGCAACAAACTATCCAACAACAAGTGATCTTACCACAACGGATTTTCGTTCGACGTTCTGTTTGTGGTTTTCTAAACGGTAGTTTGTAATATTCGTCTAGTCGTTGTCTATTCATGTCTCTCTTCGGTGTTCTGTGCGAAAAACGAAAGAATATGTTCACGCATTTTAAATATGTTTATTACAGGTCCAACAAGAACTTCAAGTTTAAATGAAGGACGCGAAGGAAGTCTTCGTAAGTGCTCAAACTCGAATTTTATTAACTAGAGCTTTATTTATTGTAGCCAATGATGTTTATGAAAATATGTCGGCAATCAACGAAAACAACGGTAAATTAATCGTTCTTCCAGGCTTTTCTTTATCATTTGCATCTCGTTCAGATCCATCCAATGCAAATTTATTGTCTATCCAAGAACAGAATAAGAATTCAACGTAAGGATTTGTTGTTCAAACAAACAAGATGAATACATATTGCTTGATGCTAGTAGCTTGGGACGACGTTTCAGCGACCGGCAAGCAACACCGAATCGACCGACGTCGAAACATCGTTCGAGCAGGTAAAGATCTTTGGAGATTTATTTTAACTCTCAATACCAAATGAATTTGTTTCAGTGAAAGCGACGCGAGTGATCTTGAGGGGTATTGCTTCATTGTCCTTTTTTACACATTCGCTTATCTTCTATTTTGCATGATAAGAACGACAGTACAGTCGGAGAATAATTCGATTTAAATCAATTCATCATGTAGTTCTTTTTATTAACACATGAATGAATGATTGTTTGATCAGATCTGGTGCTTTCTATACAATTCTTTTGACCCGCAGGCATTCGGATACAAATTTTGCTTTTCTCTCTCTCGAAGAATGATCTGAAAACTGTCTTTCAATCTTTTAGTAATCCGCAAATGGGAGGAAATACCATCGACGAGCTGCTCAGCCGTGGCGAAAGCGAAGTTATGCTTCAACAACAAGATTCCATCAATTTCAAGTAAATCTTCGTCGAATTTTTGTCTCTCTTTCTCATCTCTTCATAATTTTCAGAGCCAATTCATTTGATCTACCGACAAGTCCTGAGCCATTGAATCAACAATCTACACCCACGGATGGTGATAGTGATCTTGAAGCTGATGTTAATACATTGCCAAATCTAAGCGATTTTATTCCTAACGATGTTCTTCAAGCACTCTATCAATCGCGTGAATGGAAATTACAAACAACGATTAATGAGCTAATCCATACGGAGCGAACACATTTGAAAGGTTTAAAAATCATGAGAAAATGCTTTCGCGAGCCAATGGAACGTTTTCCGGGAATGAGTCCCGTTGAACTTGATTGTATTTTTCGAAACCTTGATCAATTAATCAATTTACACAGTAAGACACGAGAAAATTCGTCGAACGATCAATGAGTATTGTTCGACTTTTAGCTCAATTTAAATATGCACTACGACAGCATCGTGATGAAGCAAAAGATCATGTTGTTCGTCATATTGGTGACTTAATTCTGAAATTTGTAAGTTAAATCACTTCTTCCTTTCGAATAACCAACCAATCCTTTCTCGTAGCTTGATGGCGAAAAGGGCGAACAATTCGCTTGTGCATGTGCATATTTCATCGAAGATCAATCCCAAGCATTGAAATTAATAAAAAAGAAAGAACAATCAGCTGATTTTGCTTTACTAATGCGAGTAAGTAAAGTACCACTTCGTTTTCTTCATCAATTGTTCTTCATACGACTTGTTAAGACATGCGAATCCAATCCGTTATGTCGTCGATTAACTCTAAAAGATTATCTTCCATCAGTAATGACGCGTTTCACCAAATTGAAAATGTTATTCGAAGCAATGAAAAAATTTGTGTCCGACGATGAAGTTGAAAGTGAAAAACTGAGCAAATGTGTCGAATGTGCTGATAGTATTTTGAAACGAATGAACTATGCACGTTTGAAAAAAGAACAAGAAGCTTTACTGAAACAAATCAAAGCCAATCTGGAACTTCAAATTCCTAATGATGATAAATCCATCAATCTACAAAATCTCCAGGTAAAAATTTGTTCAACGAAAACTAAATCGATTCGATTCGATCACTTTATTTCATAGGATTGTCTCGAAGTTACAAACAATCGCTTGATCTATTCCGGTACGTTGAAATTATTACCGGATACAACAGCACAAAAAACCGAATTCGAATGTTGTCTTTTCACGGACATTTTCGTTTTCTTTCAAAAAATTCCCATTCAACCATCCGAACAACGCGGTATCGAAGAAACTTATCGCTATATTTTGAAAGAACATCAACGCGATGCAAACAGTGGACGACACACCCGACCACGTACGGCAGTACCTGGAACACGATTCACTGCAGCACAGAATTTCATTCTCACACCTATTATTCGATTGGAACATTTATTAATTAAGAAGAAAGCTTGCGGAGGTAAGAATATTGATGAAGAATTAATCAATTCAGTGAAAAAATGTTCGATTTTCTCTAGGTGCTCGTTCTTTCTATGTCATTGATACAGATAAAAAACAATTGATCGAAGTCGAAGCTAATTCTAAAGATGATTTAGAAAAGTAATTGAATCTCTTCAATTGCTTATTTTTCTATTTCCATTGTACCCTTGTAGATGGTTAGAATGGATCGAAAAAGCTCGAAAACGTTTTGACAAACCGAAATCGTCACTTTCAATATCAAATGAAAAGAATCCTAATTCATCAATCTCCTCGCCCTCACCCGTATCATCAACGTCTACAACAACAACAATAACACCCCGGTAAATATTTACTCGATTCTCATGGAAAAGAAGCATTCAACCGATTCGTGCATTTCAGATCAGTAGTCATCGAAGAACAAACAAACATGCAGTTAGTTGATCCAAATCAAGTGAAAATAACTGATAAACAAACGTTAATTGAAGATACACCCGAATCGTTATGTAATGCAATCATTGAAAAAGACAAAGAATTAGAACGTTTATTACATGAAAAAGAAATGCTTCTGTCGCGTCTGCTCAATATTCCTCAAGATCAAATCAAAGATTCACCAGGAAATGTAAGAATCGATCGAATTTCTTTTCCTTCTTCATTTAATGTTCCTATTTGCAGATTGCTTTAACACATTCGACAAAACCAGCATCGTCGCTAGAAGCGATCACACATGCAGCGAGCTGTCGTATGTATTTCTCTGATTTTAATTCTCAAGTTCACGGTTGTTATTTGTGTAGATAATCAATTGATGCAAACGATTAGCCAAACACAAAATCGAGCAGCACGAGAGAAGAAAGCATCAGCTGTGGAGCTTCAGTCCTTGTGGACACCATTAACACAACTCGGCGAACAGTTAAGTTTCGCTTTGGTAAGTAAATACAAGCAAATCACCGAGTATTCCTTTGGTTTTTCTTCAGAGATTAACAAATCAGCGAAAACAAGATGCTCCAATTGCTCGAGATTACCGATCACATACTTCAGACACGCAAAATTCAGTTTTACGACGAAATAGTAGCAGTTCCAGTAGTACATTAACAATGACACCGTCAATGCTTAGTAGCATATCTCAACCGTACTCCGATCTGAAAGATTCAATGTCAATGTCGTCACTTCACTCTTCCGAATCACTTGGCTCAGTCGCTATTCCAGCACAACATCAAACATACAACGATATGCCACATTTTCAAATACGATTACCTTTAGCTAACGAACAATTATCATCAATAACCGATTTAGATGAAACAATGAAATCTGTTCCATCGAACAACAAGCGTCAACAATTGCATATGGCTACCGAAGTTGTTGAACGATATGATGAAGGTGTTTTCGACGACGGTGCTACCAGTCAAACCGAAGAAGATGAAAATAACAGTGTAGTGATTGCCGATAGTGACGATGAAGATGAAATAGAACATTTCGATTCTACTGACAGTATTATCGCTGCTGTTGAACATGCTCAACAATCGAATAATTACCTAATGCAAATGAATAATATCCAAACAAATTTAGATAATTCAAATACATCAACCGAAGCTCAAACTGTTAATATCGGTGAGATGAACGAATACAGTTCAGCTTTTATTTTCAGTTCTTTATGATTTAGACATGTTTGATGAGGAAGTTTATGACAATGTCAAATCCAATAATTCGTCAATAACAGATGATAATGACAATCACACTATACGAAATTCTGCCAGCAATGCGTGAAATGAATGATATTCTCTCCATGAAATTCTTTGGTGCTATCCTTATCCGCCATGAATTTTGTCTTCTAATTTCTTTTTTTTCAACATTCTATGCATACAGATGAAAATATTTCAATTTGATTACGTTTATATATATATATATAGTTACACGTATATATATATATACATGAAAACATCATGTTGGCCTGTTTTTAATAGAGTTTTTTTAAAAACATAGAATTTTTTTCACTTTTCTATCAATCATGTCCACCGCAATGCGATCCAGATGAAAATTTGAATTTGTGCTATATCTCCTGCTTGTTATCAACTGGGAAAAAGCAAGTCGGGAGAATTGATTTGAAAAACCTCTGTTCGTTTTCTTTTTGTGTATTTCTGCGCGTTTATTTCTTCTTTTCTTCCTCACTTTCTTCTCTTTTTGTGTATAGTTTTTCTTTTGGTTTGGCAGTTCTGCGCATCATCTTCTCTTTGTCTACTCGCAACGAACCTTTTGTGCGGATTTTCGAGCTCTTTGTGCACATACGGTGTGTGAGAATGTTGATTATTTCGTTTTTACACTGTTCTCTTGTTCTTTTTACCAATGGCGGATTGATGAATGTGTTTTCTTTTCTCTTAAAGTATACATATATATTTTTTTTTGCTTGTTGCTGCCTTCCATATTGTCATCAACAAAAAAAAATTAAGTCAATAAGTAGTGATTCTTCTTTTTTTTTCATTGACTTAATTTGTTGAATTGATTAATTATGAATACAGAGAACAAAATAGACAGGTTAAGTCGGCCTCATCTTTGCCCAATGTTTGAAATGTTCGGGTCAGAATGAATGAGATTAATTGCGTTTTTATTCAGTTGAAACTTTGCTGAGAAACACACAGAAAAAGAACGGAGAAGGAAAAGCTCGATTGTTTCTATCGAACTATCGATTTTTGTTGATTACCATTTGTAAATATCGATGGAAGAGATTCTTGTTCGTCATCATAATTCAATTCGAAGTACGATGTGCGATTGGCGCTTGTTACTGTTGCAGCTGGAGCTTGTCTCCATGGTCCTTGTGCAGTTGCTGCATCAAATACATGCTGAAAGAGAAAATATGAATCGAATGAAGGATGAAAATAAGATTCGAATTTACACGTCGATTCGTTTTCATTTGGGCTTGTCGGAATGGCATGCTGTCAAGATCGGTTAATAATAATTCCTTTTGCATACGTTCAAAGCGTTCAGCTGCATCATCGAGAATGAGATAATCACTTTTGATTTTACTTGATGATGCAAAATCACCGACACCACCGGTATTATTTTCGTTCACATAAGTTTCATTATACCATATATCAAATTCTACATGGGTCGATGTATCTATTGCAAACAGGAGTCTTTTGTTTCTTACCTTGAAGAAGTCGATTTTGACATTGAACAACCAAATTTTGACAATATGTTATTTCCGATTTGAGATTCTTCCATTGTTCATAATCGGTACGATATGTACCTTTGAGATCTTGTAATTTCGAGATTAGTTCGTATTCTTCCTCGTCAATAATCGTTTCACCATTCTCATTGAGAAATTCACCTAGAGTGAACAATAATGAAATGATGAAGCAAGGAATAACAAATAGAAAACGTGCGCACCCATGGATAATCGTTCATTTTTCTTCTGTTCTGCTCTACTTCGTGTTTGATCTAGTTCTGTTTTGGTTTGATTGATCCGTCGTGCAAATTCAGCAAATTGTTTCTTTTTCGTCGCAGTTATTTCCTTATTTTCCAGGTAGATTCGATTCAAATTTGAACCTCGAGTTTGTTTGAACTCTTCGAATGCAGCCGATCGACCTGGTGGTGTACTTAAATACATTGAACACTCTCGATAGATCTGAGCATTTGACTTGAAAAGAATTTTCTCTTACTTTGGACGTTGATCTTTTCCATCAACAGCTTCACTTGTTTCTTTCACTTGTTCCTCATCTGTTGTTGTGATGCGTGGCGCATTCACACCAGTTGGTTTTACACCTGGAGGTGATGGAGATTTAGCCTTCGTACTGAATTAAAATGAAATGAAATTGAATCTGTTTTCTGCAAAGAACTTACTTATTCGCTGGGGCAGCTGGAAGTTTTGCTGTACTTGTATTTTGCTTTTTATTTCGTGCAGTTTTGAGGGAACCGTCTTTAGTACCTCGCTGATCTTTGGAAGAGACACCTGATGCGAAATTTTGGCCATCAAGATCGCCACCTAAACCGTTTGCATTGTTAGCACCTCGAGTGATACCAGAGATCTAAAAAAATCGTTGAGAGAGATTTATTTCATTTGTTCGAAACAAGCTTTTTGTCAAAGAAGAAGCCTAGAGCAGATGGAAAGCCTACAGTGGCGAATATTTTCACCGATTAAATCAACGGACGATTTGCATGCTGCATTGAACTAATCAAAATAAATTCGACTCTGACATTCTCTATTGATTTCATATAGAATAGCTAAAGCCATGAACTACTTACGAGTACTGTCGAATCATTTTCCTAGAAGACAATTTTCATTTAAATATTCTCTTCTACTATATATCGATCGCATAGATAAAGACAAAAGAAATGTTCATTTACTTTATGACCGCTCTGTTGATCGTATCCTTGATTATCTGCAGGAGCGTATCGTTCACGACATTTTTTTTCTGCATCTTTTTCCGTTATTCTTTAAAAAAAAAGATATATGACCAATCGTATTCAATGTGAATTCCTAACTTACCGACAAATATTTCTCATCGTATTGAATACCGCTACGAAAATACAAACATACTCACAAAAGAATCATTTCTATAACGAAGCAAACCTTGTATTTGTCGAAGACTTTTCACTTCAATATCATCTAATGTTCCATCAATAAACCGACGACATTGATTTTCAATTTCGTAGAGTTGTTGTTCCGATAAGGACTCATGTGCTGCATTAGTTCGTTGGACTATCGAATCATGCAAAGCTAATTCGTCCCGTAACAATTTATTTTCACGTTTATAGTTTTCGATTGCTTTGATAGGATCGATCACTTCATTCACAGTTGGTTCAGCTGGCACACACATCATTCGACTAGCAAAACGAAGTGTTGAGATCTATTCGAGGCAAAAAGAGAACCAACGAAGATCAATCAGCGAAATAAATATCTCGTTTACTGTTTCCTCAAGTTGTTGTAATTCAGGCCAAATATTCGCAATCATAACGGTGTTACATCGCCCGCCGATACTGTCTTTCAATGCATGAGTTAATTTCGAACTTCGGCAGTTATGAGAATTGGTTTTTTTATCCGACAGATTGAGTACCGCTTGTTCGAGAAATGAGAGAGATTTATTAATAAATGTTGCTTCACGTTTTGTGACACCTTCCGACTAAACACATTGACTCTGAGATATTCATCATGGAAATGCAAGAAATGAACTTACATTCGTTTTTGCTAATCGTTCACTGCCAGCTAAATCCACGAGATTTAATTTCGACATTGTATACTTTTCCGTTGATGAGACGGCCGATCGACGTTCGATTAGAATAGTAAATATACAATGAGAACGAGATGATTGTTTATTGAGAACGTGTTGTCCTATAGCACGATTGGTTTCACCTTCGAATAATAAATTCAACGCTTCTTCTTCACTATTTGCAAGCCGATAGGATAATCCTTTCACATAAACTAAGCCCGAATCTTCACCAATAGATAATTGTTGTTGCTGTTGTTGATAATCCGATTGAGAATTCAAAGTTCGAAGCAAATCACACATTTGATCATTGTAAATCTCAAGATACGCGATGCTGAACAAAAGGAATCTTTCAAATGACAATTGTTCGTCTCATGAGAAAATTTCTTACCGAATGGAATAAGAAAATTCCTGACGCGTTGCAATTTCTTGGTAGAGATATTGCAAGCTCCGAGGAATAATTCCACGATTTTGATAACTTTCAGAAAAACCAGTCATTGTATGAGTTTTCCCAGCACCCGTTTGACCGTAACACATGATTGTACCTAGAATGAATTCTCTTGACATCTCTTTTTTGTGCAAATCAAATCAAGCGAACCGTTGTAACCATCTAATGTTTGATGAATGACATCCTTTGCGACAGCATTGAAGATATCTTCTTGATTCACGTTGTTGAAAACTCCGTCGAAATGAAACATCCAATCGTTAACTTTATTATCAATGATATTCTGTGAGGGTGCTCGGTGCAGATTGACCGTCTGGGCAAAATCAATAATTTTATGCAAAATGGTGTCTAATAAACAAGTACATGTGAACTTACCTTATTATCTCGTCCGATTGCGAGAACTTCGGATGCAAAATGGTTTGTTGGACGAGTTCGGACATAAACTTTTACTTTATTCGATGCTCGTTGTGGCATATCGAAATGAATATTTATTTCTATAGAAACATTACAAAAGAAACTAGAGATCTTTTTTTCTATTTATTCTCTTTTTTTATCTGTTATTTAACGATGAATAAATCTGAGCGGAGAGAAGCTTTATCTACGATCAGACAAAGTCGATATCGATCAAAATATCTTCATATGAATCATAATGGTAAAAAATCAATCGAACTGTTGAATAATTTACCTCGTTATCGTCGAAATTACGTTCGCTTTCGACAAAGTTCATCTCGGTCACGATCGAGAGAAAAAACTAAAATCGTTGCCTTACGTCCAACCATCGACTATCGCGCTAAACTAATCTTACTCATCCTACAAACTCTTTCTCTCTTCCATCTATGCTCTGTCATCTATTGTCATCAAAAACACCCTTTACTAGCCGCGAGATACACTCTCATCACACTAATCATTCTCAATTTTCTAACTTACAGTTGTGTTCAATACGATACGCAACAAGTTGAACATGGACGGTTGTTATTAGGTGAAAGTCCACTGTTATTTCTATTTTGGTACGGAGGACTTCTCGGTGGTGGATGGGCATTGTTAAACGAAAAACATAAACATCTACGTAGTCAAGCATTTCGATCTCGATTGAAACTGATTACATTCTTCAATGCTACCTGGCCTTTTCTTGTCTATATTTTACATATGTATCGAAATGAATGTTCATTTATAGATGCTTCTCGTATGTTATTACCACTATTCGAAGCCTAACATCATTTGTAATAATAGATGACATTGAAAAAACAGAAACTATAGAAACACCTTACTGATTGAAAGTTCATACAAAGATGTCGCATGTAGGAGATGGATTTCATGCAATCAGCAATTTCAGTTGAATTTAGTCGATTTCTCAGTAAAAGAAAAAGAATCAGGTGATGCTTCCAACTATGCAGATTGACTAAATGTTATTTTTAGTAAGAAATTAATTGAGAAAAGGGTGTGGCACAAGCTGATCTGCCATCGTCATAAGAATTCCTATACATGTTATACACATCTACTCAGATCATGGAATGAGCATTGTTTCATTTGTTATTCATGTATCATCAATCATTAACTTTTGTTTTCTCTCGTTTTGTTCATTATGTAATTAATATCAGCACTGCCAGACATTGTGCTCAGATGGTATATAAAATGTGTGTAAAACGTAGATTTATGATTACATATCTTTTCAAATGTAGAATATCTCTGACGATCGATGTGTACGATATAACTGAATGATCTGTCTATCAAATTGTGACGATATCTTCAAAATTCAATCACTAATTGTTTGCATAATCTTCGTCTACATAACGTACAGGCAACGACTCTCATCTCCGAAGAATTTTCTCACCGCTGATATTAAAATCGGTGATCACAGTATCAGATTTGAGCAAATGTTTTAGAAGATTTGGATGCAGTTGCTGCTCTTTAAGAAGAAATGACTAGTAATAGTAACACTTTTAAACAAAGGTCACTCTCAAATACAGACAACTATGTTGCAGAAGACGCTAAACAATCGGTCGCATTTCTTTTGTAACATTCGAATGAAGAGAATAGAGTTGTCTAGGACAAAATCTTTTGCTTCGGTTTCATTCGAATAACTCTCGTGATTCTTCCGACTGGTTACTCAATAAATATATAATGAACTGAGTATTTTTCTCTGATTCAACTTTGTTTTTTCTTTAGTAATCGGAATGACTAGGGAAAAGAATGACGGAGTCAAATAGTAGATCCTTTTTTTTATATTTATTTTCGTTCTTTCCCGTTAAAAGACAAAAAAAAGCAGAGCCTGGTTTTTTATCCTTAACGTTAATTTTCTTTTTCTCCTTGCCGTTCTTCTTCTTCGTCTTCCTCGTTTCCTTTGCATTTGACATGCAAGTACGAACGGAGATGGAAACCGCCAGATGCAGTTCAAAATACGGAAGAAAAGAGAAGAATAAGAAGAAAAAGCCCAGAAGATCCGTCTTTTTTTTTGCCTCTCTATATTTTCCTTCACTCGTAAGACCGACATTCACATCACATCAGCATATTTTTTTAACTATATGTCGTCGCAGAAGCATTCCAAGGTTATAATGTGTGGTTTTTTTTTCTAATTCATCGTGTAGATACTTGAAATTCTCGGTCTGGCAGTGATGAAATACATTCTCGTTCTTCTTCTATTAAATCTTCTTCTAACACCAACTTTAGCACAAAAATTCAAAGGTAAACCATCTAGTAACTTCTATTGTACAGTGAAACTTCGAACTTATCGTTTTTCTATGCAGAAGAAAGTCCGTATTTGATTATTCGTCTGATGGATCTTCGATTAAACGAAGTAAGTTAACTCTTTTTTTCAATGTGTCATCGTTATCTTACTCTTTAACTAGTGGAAATCCGAAACATTAAACAGAATGGAGCGCGCACTTGATGCCGAATTAAAATATACAGATGAGAAGAAAGGCATTGCATGTAAATCAATGTAAATATACACACAAATTGTTTATCTCGTTGACATTTGCGTCTTCCCTCTGCTCTTCTAGCTTTTTCGAACAAGAAATTGATTATCCGAAACAAGACGCTCGTTTTCTTGATCTGAGTATTCGCGGAATTTGTATTGATGATCAAGGTGCTCGTCATCTTATTGCAAAAGAATTAATTACCAGTAAGTTTCGTAACGAAAACAAAGAAGGTATGTGAATTCGGCATTTATTCAGATGCGATTATTCGACGACTGGATGAAGTTAATCGAGCTGTTTACGCTCATGTCTATCGTATTGGCAATGTGAAAATCTATAAACGCAATCGAAATAAGTTGAATTTGATTATTATACCTGCATCTATTGGATTTGTCGCTTTGTTATTTCTTTTAACATTCTTCTTGCGACGAATGAGGTAAACCGAAGTCATTCAGTGTGTTGATTTGTACTGTTTTATTTTCAGGAATTCACAGAAACGTCGTCATATTATTAACGAATTAGAAAAGAAGAGAGAAGCATCAGTGAAAAAAGCTCAAACAATGCCAAATATTGATCCTCTAGCAAATGATAAGCAACGTTTATTACAAATGGATTCCACAGTTGCGGGAAATGTTTCAAACACCATGGGCAGTCCGAAGGAGTTCACTAATGAACAAAATACAACTCCAACTCGCAGTACCAATCCCAGCACTGTTAGTGATCATCGTTCCTATAATCGCGACTATCAAGGAACAGCGTCAGCAGCAAATAAAGATAATAATCGAACATCTCAATACAATCGTGATGAGGATTCGACATTTCCAAATCAACGCTCGTTCAAATCGAGTCGTGAGCGTATGCACGTTCCATTCGAAAGTGATTCTCATTTCGTTCCAACTCATTCGCAATATTCCTACGAACCGCAATACCCTGAGATGCTTTCCATGCATGAGCATCATCCACGTGTAGTTGTTCGAACAATCCGAGATGATGGAAACTATCAAAACTATCAACAACAATCCTACGACGATCCATCGAAAACATTCGTTTCGATTCCTGTACAAATTGAACATAGTAGTTCGCATCAACGATTCGTTCCACCACCGTATCATTCAGATCCATATTATCCACATGTTAATTCATAGAAGAAAAACAACAGAAACTATTTTGTTAATGAACGAACGTTTCGATAGATTTTTACATACAATTCATTGCATTGATTGAATTCCTTTAGGTTATTTCGTAAATATCTTCGCTTTTTAATAAAATTCTTCATCGTCTTTTCATTCACAATAAACTCAAACGTTCAAATTCTCCCATGACAACATTCGAGAGAATCTTCTAAAATAAAAAGGAAATTAAATTGTAAAGTTTTCTTCCTATTCGCAGATTCAAACGTCATTTGAATATTTATATCCGGTAATAAGTAGAAGAAAATAATATACTGACAAAGATTATTAACCTTGAAATATGCCAAAGAAATGACACAAATTATTATCTCTAATTGACACGTAGATATCATTAGATTTCTGAAACAAAATGCTCAATTAATCAAGACAACAAATCTTTGTTACCTTATAAATAAACAAAATAACGATTCTTGTATGACTGTAATGTTCGTGTTGAACATGAAGGAGTTCTTTCTTACTTCAACAACAAGTCGTATTTCACTTACTTTACTGATTAATTGTTAAAATCACCGAAGCGTACTGCTGATGTGATACACATTCTTTTATATGAGATAAAATACTACATTAATTACAAATAGATGTAGATTTTCTATGTAATCCTCATACATACAATAATTGTCTGGAATTTCTTTTTACCAAGCATGACAAGTGAATCAAATAAGAAGTTTTTTAACATTTGTTCAGAAATCTCCGTTGAAGAAGAACATCACAAACAGATGACTTAATTTCAAGTTTCTCGTAATCCATCTATATTTATTTTTAATCAAAAGATGAAATTTAAATAACTCGAGTATCAGCATATATGAGCAGATAGTAAAGAAAACTTCAAAATTTAAACACTATGACAATTGCAGAAGTACATAGGATGAATCTTAGGTTTTGAATCGTTCAACATATTCTGTTACACTTGAAAATATTCATTAGTATTATGCGGAATTCGCAATGATGACACATAAGATGATCTAGAAAATGAATTGTGAATTCTTTTCTTGACAACATTTAAATCAAACATTTTCATGTAAAGAGTAGAAATATACTAGACTATTACCACCAATCAAATCAATGTTTTCTAATGGCACAGTTTATTTTCGTCTGATTATTATTGTAACTACAAATCTAGTACGTCAATGAAGCGTCCTATCGACAGTACCGAAAGATCAAATGTATAGATGTGTAAATATGTCGAATATCATCGTCAACTAACAGATTTTGTACAAATAGTAACAGTGTACAGATGGATATATTCATGATTTGTTGAAAACAGTATGATTTTTGGCATACACTTGTCGTCTATGTCTATAGTTGATAAATAATTGTTTCCTAAAGTTGATTTAAAGAGCAAATTCTTTTCTTTTCCAATGTTATTGATTGGGAAAAGTCAGGCGATTCGCTTCTAGTTATTTAGTTAATGTCGAACGATAATGATGACTGGTCGATGATGATCATCAACATGAGCACTGTCCTACTCTCAATTGAATTGATGTAGACAATATGGATGTGTGTGCGTGTGTGTATACGTATGTCTGTTAATTTCAGTTTCGCTATTGATCGTTTACATCCGTTTGTTCTTGTCTCTCTGACATTCTACTTTCTCATAGAGAACACGCACACGATTATGAGCAAGTGTTATAAACAAAAAGTGTTGTTGTTCACTGTAGGAAACCAGCGATCGATGATTGATTATTGATTTGTGCGTCTTTTTTTTTCTCTCTGTACATATGTATATAAACTTGGAGATTAATGACTTTCATCTTTCGACGAACAAATGATAAAACAGCAGTCAATTGCATATGAAAGGTAATTTGACTCGTGTACATTATTGATTGAAGAGAACTGATCATATCATCATTAGAGAGAAACAATAATAAGCATATGATGTGAAAAAGAGAAGACAAAGATGACACCATCAGATGAAGAGAAACAAAGACAGTTAGAAAACGATTTCTTTTTGTCGATGTGCATCTGCAGATGCTTGACATTACATGAAAATGATTGTTTGTCAAGAGACTCTCTTGATTGGAATCGATTAGTGTCGTCTTTGTCTTTATCTCGAAGGAAAGAGTTGCTCAATGAAATTATCTCCTCATGTCGTGCCATGTCTTTTCTTTTTTTTTCTCTTCAATATTGATAATCGCTTATTTTGTGTCTATTTAACGACAATGTTCAATATTGTATTTGATTGTTCTGTTTTCTCTGCTCATTTCCTGAATGTGAGACTCCATACGATCAACGCACACGCCAAATGCATACCAAATCTCTATATCATGCTGAGATGATCATTCCTTTTCCCTGTCTCTCAATAGACTAAGCCAAAGAAGAAAGGAAACAGACAATGAGCCAATAGAAATAATTCTCATCTTTTTTTATCGCATACGCATCTGATTGGTGAATAGACATTAAGAAGAAAAAGATTATCGAAAGAAATGCTCAATCAACTGATCTACTTTTTCTTTTCTCCAACTCAACTCTACAAGTATCATTCTCGGTACTTTTCTGGACAATAACCATGATCGGTGGAAAACCATTCGATGTCGAATCCCTTCTGCGTGATTGTGTTGTAAAGAAAAAACGACCTATTCATGATGCTATTCCAACATATAATCAAACACACTCACTACAACAGCAACAGGCAACTGATTTATCGATTGGAAAAGATAAATGTCCATCCGGTAAAATCTTAACCAATATTTCAAATTGATTCGAACTCTTTTCGTTGTTTAGATGAAAACGGTGATTGTTCAAATAGTTCATCAACAAGTGGTAGTAGTATCAGTGCGATGCGACATAGTATTGATGCTTATCGTCAACATTTATTTAGTAATGCGACCAATGAAGTTGCGAAGTCATTTTTATTGAGTCTTCGAAATTTAACATCATCATCGTCGTCGGTACCATCGTCCATGGTAGGCATCGGAGGGAATAATAGTACCATTCAAATTAAGAAAACCAAACGACGTTCACGTGCTGCATTTTCGCATGCACAAGTCATCGAGTTAGAACGAAGATTTGCACAACAAAAGTATTTGTCAAGTACAGAACGAGCAGAATTAGCTACCTTACTGAGCGTAAGTCGAGTTTTCCCTTCAACTCTATGTAACAATATCGATTGCTTTTAGCTTCAAGAACAACAAGTGAAGATTTGGTAAGTTATCTTCTCTTCTCTTCGAGTTCCACATTTCTAAGAATTTTGTTCTCTAAGGTTTCAAAATCGCCGTTATAAAGCAAAACGAAAGCAACTTCTCAGTCAAGTCAGTGCAACACCCAATACACGTCATGTACCCGTAACTGTACTTGTCTATGAAAATCATGGTTATTCAGGCAATTCATCTTCATCTTCATCGTCATCACGTTTAACTCACCCAAAACCACCATTGATGATTCCATCAATCAATCTTTGAAGAATCTCTTCGAACTGAAAACATATTTATCTATGTACATTTCGATTCTATTTAACATTTCGTGTTGTTTTGTTTGTGTACGTATTAGTTAATATCATTGAGCAATCGTGTATCATCACCAACATCTTCACTTTGTAAACGTAAATATGGTATATCATTATTGTCAAGACCAATCATATTTATTTCGTATTTCTCATTGGAATGATAGAGTGTCCGAACGAAATATTTCAGCGTGTATTCAATGACGAGTATTGCACTATAGAGAGTACCGGAGAACTCGCCTGGCAAGAAGAATATTTGGAGAACCGATGTACCGAAAAAATAACATATACGCAAAAGAATACTATTCAATTCAAGGAGCTTTTCATGGATTAGATTGATCTCATTAGTGAATGAAGACGAGCGGATTGTTTGAATAATAGAAATAAAATCAAGAATATGAAGAAGAAGAATTAATAATTGTGGACGAACATTGCCAAGACAGAGAATCGGTCGATCTAATGAATTCTTATCCCATAGATCAGACCACTGAATCATGAGAATCAATTGAGTAATAAGAAAAAGCATGAACATGAATATAACAGCAGATTTTAATTTATCCGAATCACGTTGTTGAGAGAATCGACTGGTGTAGTAAGAGTAAAAATCCGGTAGTAAATGTCCAGTGACTATTATTGTTAAAAGACAATGGAGTATTATTTGATGGATATAACACCATGGTGGATGAGTGATACCATTCACGATTAGGAGATCGTTGAGCACAAGGCTAACAATGCCAATAGAGATAATAAAACGAGAAAAATAAGATAAAGATTGATTGCATTTTCGAGCAGAAAGACGCCAATGACCAATAAATGCGAGAATAGATATGAATACAATGAAAATTGTTATATGAACGAGATGTCGAGTCAATCGAAGACGAGATGAAAAATTGAATTGTATAGGATGTTCATTTGTATTAAATAGTGAAGTTATTGTAATAGTTTGCTGCATCGGCGAATAGCTCAGATAGAATATACAATAATAATATTGAGCGCGTTTATCGAAAATTTTTCTAGTAAGTAACGTGCGTCCTCTACGTGTCATGTATTTCTAACCAATCGTAGCTGTTATCTCTCAACCATTTGTTATTCGAAATGAAATGGATTATAACTGGAACGAGACCTCTATTTAAACGATTTTCTCCTTCTTTCATCTCAATTTAATAATCAATTCGATCAATTGATCGATTAAGATTCCTCAACAAAGCAATAAAAACCTAAAGAAAGCACTTCATACTACGAAATTTTCTGTTCTTTTCTGAATCAAATTACGAAATTTTCATATATTCATCAGTTCAATGTTACAAAATCGCCTTTCGAATGGTTCATCAACCGTTCGAAAACAACAAACAGCTGTAAAGCAAACTATTGATCGACCGAAACTTCATTCTTGGCACAATGATGCGTCTAGTCATCGAAATCATTCTTATCAAAACCATCAGTTCAGCAATGAAACAAACAATTGGTTAAAATCTTCACCGAAAATCGTCGATGATACACCAGAATTGGAATTAACATGTCAAGAAGATATGCTTACCGACACTCAATTACAAAATTATCCAACACAAGTAGTATTTTCATATATCAGTAGGAAGAAAACATATTTTGAACTGTTTAGGCGTATGATCCAACAGCTCCACTACCCTTACCAGCTGTTCGTAGACGCACATCAGTATTAAAGAAAGTACCGACACAAGATATCGAAATACTTCGAGATCAGGACGAAGATTTCATTCCTAGTGAATCCGATGATGATGATGACGATGATGAAAATTATCTACCTGAACATGATCGACGTCCATATAATCGTGCTAGTCATGTGAATGGAAGTATTGGTCGAGGTGAGATTTTAATATTATAAACAATAATTTCGAAATTTTGTATTTCTTACAGGTCGTGGTCGCGGTGGACGTGGCCATTTAACTTCGACAGTCAATCGATTGCCACCCTCAACTCATTTCGTTCGACCACAACCTTCGCCAACTCCACAACTTCATTCATTACCAACAATAGCTAATCATCGACATCAACAGATAGATGCACTTGATCGTACTTATGCTTCAGCTCTAACGCGATTCTATGGTACACGCAATGGTCAACAAGTCGATTCATCCGACTACGGAGATTTTCGTATTAGTACGTTATTCTATTCTGACAAAATCGAAGATAATTTATGTTTTTCTTGTAGAATGCTCAATATGTGGTGAGCTATCAGCTAATAACATGTCTTTCATTGCACATTTATGTTCACACTTCGAGGATGATCTTAACTATATTAGTCCATTTGATAAAGTCTACCGTCGCTGTTCGGTGTGTCATGAAGAATTTTCTACACCTTTTCAAACCCTACTGCACAAAGATCAAGAACATCTTCATGACACAAACGAATATCGTTGTCGAATTTGTCAACAAAATCATCCGAATTTAGTCGATTTATTTGCTCATTTGAATTCAGTACATGTCGGTCTTGATATGCCTTATGTTTGTGACCAATGTCACTATCGTACATCCATGTACGAAGACATGGCTCATCACATTCGACAAGTATATTCACACGATTGAAAGTTTATGTTTACACATACAAAAATCTTTTGCTTTTAGGTCCATAAAGGAACACAATATTTCTTTTGTCCATATTGCTTTCAGTCAGTGCTACTGCCTATGTCTGATACAAATTTGTTGAATTCAATACCTGCTTTTCGTCACGTCGTTCTTCATTTTGATCGAATCGAAAATAGTAATAATAAACAGCAACAACATCGCATTGAATCCTTATTTAAATATTGTGATCGATGTGTTTTACATGTGAAATCTGTCAAAGAACACTATAGTTATCATCATCCTTTGAATTCGACAACTGATGATGAAGAAAACAATCAGGAAGATTTCAAACGAAATAATTCTCATCATACGAATGGTAAGTCATTGAAAAAAGAGAAAATCTCAAGTGATTGAAATCTATTTTAGTATTTAACCATCGATCGTATCCATTAAAATTTGATCGCAATAAGCATTTACCCATGGCGACTATTCGGCGTCGACCTACAACATCGAATCAGTATGAACAGGTAACGTTCGACTGAACCCATCAAAGTCTTTAGCTAGTATTTCACTTAGATTCATATCAATAGTCGATGGTATCCTCGCCGGTGATTTAGTAACTAGTTCTAACTTGTTCTTTGACATCTCAGTTGATCCAAACCGGATGATTTTCTCTCTTTCTATGAAGTCTGCTTGATTTCCTACAGATGCTCAGTTCTACATTGGAATTTGTAGTTCTCTTTCCAGAAGATCCATGCTTTTTTTCTCTCTTGATTTTATCACATTCAAAACTTGTTATTGTACATTGATTACTTGTTTGTTTGTTTTTTTGTACTTTATCATTTCTTTCTTTTGTACTGTCAAGCAAAATTATTTGCCGTGCAAATAATGTTCTATGTGATAATCGAAAGAAGAAACAGGAAGAAAAAGGGGACAGAACAGGCACAACATTGTATTCTGCATAGACGCATAGAAGAAATCGAAATGATAAATGTCGTGAGACCCGTACACATGCGTAAACACACAAACAGTGTTCGATGCCGCACATCGAACGTAGAAGAAGAGAGAAAGAGTAATAATAATGTACATAAAACAAAAAAATATATATATTAACCACTTTTAGCCGGTGTCACGTATCTTGCAGCAGATGATTTATCAATTGGTAATGAAGTATCCATAGCGGAATCATCGTATTGTTCACCTTCATCGCTGAGTTTTTCTGCTAAACAAAAATTCGAGTTAAGAAACGAAAAGATCTTGTGAATTTATTTACGATTTTCATCTTCGTCGTAGTATGTTGCTTTGATTCCATCGACAATATTCAAATGATCACGTTGTAAATGATCTTTCATAGATGAAACATGTAGAACACATTTTCTACAATGTTTAAACTTCGATGGCGTTGTTCGTCCTTGATCGACTTTATTAAAATGAAGTAATAAATGTTTATAAGCTAATGTTCCATTTAATATTGTTGACGAATTCGGTACGAATGGTAATTCAATAGCAATGAAACAGTATGGACAAAAGAAATATCTTGTTCCTTTATGAACTTCATCAATGTGATAGATCATATCGGCATGCATTGATGTTCGAAATGAGCAGACTTTACATGAGTACGGCATTTCTAAACCACAATGGCAGAGATTTAAATGTGCGACTAATTCTAATAATGATGCATGACGTTGTTCACATATTCGACAGCGGTATTCATTGATTTCTAACATGTGCTTATCGTCGATGTGCATAGCAAGAAAATATGGATTGGAAAATTCTGATTGACAATGTGCACATTTCGTATTGATTTGTTCAAAAGGTGAACTGGTATTTGGTTGGAAGTGCTCGTCACGATTATTTTCATCGTTTTGTTGTTGGTCAAGATGTTGACAGAGATGAGTAATCAATTGGATGTTATTCTCAAAGAGAAGACTTTCACACATTGGACACTAGAAAAAGACTAGAATCGTTAGCGATTTCCTTCCTTAGAAGTGAAAGAGATACCTGACTACGAAAATCACCATAATCAGATAATGGCAAGTTGCGACCGGGTTTTTGACCATAGTATTTCGATAGAGCACGCTTGTAAGTATGTTCTGTATGAGAGAGGAGTATGAATTGAGATGTACACACAACAAGAAGATTACTTACCAAGTTCGACTTCTAAACCCTCCTCTAAAACATTGACAAAGCAATTTTTTGTGAGGTTTTAAAGTAGAAAGAAGTTATTTACCACGCGTTCTAACTGTGCCTGGCTTGAGACGTGGCAATGGTTGGTCGCGAGGATATTGTGTTGAAGCGTTTGGAGCAAAAGCTGGTTGAAGAAATGGTATTGTTGCTTTTCGGGTTGGTTCCGGCTTTACAAATTGTGTTTGGTAGAACTGACCACGACTCGCTCGTTGTTGATTGTTCAATGAATTACGATGTGGTTGTGGTTGTTGCGATTGCTGCTGCTGTTGTTGCTGTAGAGGTGCTGATTGTCGCACGTTTCGATAAGAATTTGCATGATTACCACCGCTACCACGTTGGTACGATGATGTATAGTTATTTGTCGACAAATTCGTTCGTTTAGACCAAGGTAAACGATCGTCCTGTTGACGATTAATCCAATCGCGATCACGAACTGTATCATCTTGATCAGGCTCATTGTTATTCCATTCATCTAGATCATCTAATTCATCAGGATCTTCGTCTGCATAGTTTGGACGATACGTTGAACGACGTGCTGCGGAATTGGAATTTGTTGTCGAAGGTGTCGTTGGAGGATATCGAGGATGTAAACGAGGGCGACCGACTGGATTACGAGGTTTGGGTGCTATACCATTTGTTGATTCTGTTCGATCCAGAGCCTAAAAATGTCCTTTAAACGACAATTCCACTAGTAAAGTAACCTACTTTAACAGGACAATGTGCTAATTGTGCTTCGGATAATTGATCATCGAGACAATTCAGATTTAAATCCACGTCTATGGTTTGTTTCACATCGTTAGCCGCTTGTCGAAGATTTTCGTCAAGATTATCACGTGACGGTGATGGTGTAAGAAGCTGTTGCTGCTGCTGCTGCTGTTGTTGTTGTTGTTGTTGTTGCTCATGGAAATACTGTCTTTGATATTGATTATTGACACTATTCCGATAAGGTAACGATGTTCGTTTATTAGCATTTATTGAATTAGTATTGTTTGTCATCGGTGTCGTTTGCTTAGCACGAATATTTGCCATATCTGATCGAAATCGTTTCGCGGATGAAGATGGAGTTGATGAAGTCGAAGAATTTGTATCATTTAAATTTTGTTTCTCGATTAATGAACGAGAATAGGGAGTGAAAAACGAGGGTATGGCATCCGGACGTAGTGTAGTAGGTCCTTCAAAATCATTTTGTCCAAAATGTTCACGACACACTTTGAATGTTGCAGTTGATGGTGATACTGAGATATTTTCGAAACCACATGCATCGAGCCATTTACGTGCAACAGTTGCATCGCGTGGAATTTTGTATAACTGTACACGATGGCGACGAGCAAGATAATTATGAGCACAACCTTCCACGTGACAACGATTTGATGCTTTATTTTCCGACTGAAACAGAAATTTATTGAGCAATAGTTGGCAAAGAGCACACTTTCTTACATTATCATGAGTCAAGGAGGATTTATTCACAATGAAGGATGTTTGGTTTTTATTATCCAAATTTTCAGTTTGGGTATTATTATTTGCTGCTGCTGTTGGTGCGAGACGTGTCTTCACATGGCCACTTTCAAGATTCATCTTTAAAATAGGTTCTAACGTTCGTCCATCTAAATCAGGATTGCTGGTATGAAAGGTGATATTGGTTTTCTTAATGGCTTTATTTGATTCTTGTAATTTATCTTGATAAGCAATCATTTTATAGAAAACTTCCAGATCAAACAATGTTGGTAAAGATTTCGGTTTGAGTACTTTGGTACCATTTCCAACATAATCGAAACATGGCTCTTCGAAATGTTGTTCACATACACGATGTGTTGGAGATGGACGTAGATCTGTACGCATGATATTTTTGTACCAAGCTGCTGATATATTTCCCAGATGTACGGGAACAGAAAAATATTGTATCGACGGATTGGATTGGATTCCATTTGGACATCCTTGCACAATACATATTGGATCATTATGATTAAAATGTGCCCTAAATCAAAATCAAGATCAAAAATAAATATCTGTTTTCATTCATCAAACAGTAACTCAAGACGGCGACCATTGATGACTTACATCCCACCTCGTTGTTGCTACTTCGATACAACAACGAATAGTAAATTAGAACTAGCAGTGGACACTGGCGTGCTCCGTCGGTGGTGCAGAAGCGGCGGCGCAAGAGAAATATGCAACGATGGGGGGAATGAATAGCAGCACCAGTAGAGAGGCAAAGATACTTCGAGTAAATGTGGAGGATGAACGACGACGACGATATACACACGCACACACAACAGAATGAAAGAAATAAAAGAGAAAAGAAAAACGTGCAGGCAAAGCAAACGAGAAGAACAACACAATTTCTTTCTCTCTCTCTATTTCGTTTTCTCATTTTTTCTCTCTCTCTCTCTTCCTGCCTACTTCGCATTCTGCTGAACTAGACAGAGAAGGGTTACTGACGGACTAACGAACGGACGTCAGGTAGAAACAAAGCTATTAAATGAACTTTTCTTTAATCACTCATGATGAGCAGTTTTCTCGTAACACTATTGTTTGATCGAAGTACGAAAGTTGACAAATCGAAGCATTTCATTCGTATCATTTACAATCAAAACGAACTTCGAATAAACAACCGTACGAAATAAAATTTATGAGATAAGAATCGACATGAGAAAAAATAGAAGAAATGTTTTCATGCATTAGTATAACCATGAAACGATATATCACATGTTATCAGTTGATATCGAGTCGAAATGTTTAACATTGTTGAGTAACACTGGATGAAAATAGTTTGGTATTATGGTTTGCAACCAATTAAGAAATAGTGTTTCGTTTTTATCGAATAAATGATAGACGTTGAGAAGTTCGGGTTTAGTTAAGCGATAATGTTCAAGAATTCGCGAACATTCGTCATCGATTGAATCATCGGGAGATGAGTTTTTGAAGAAAGAAAACAAACGGCGAAGTTTTGCAAAAAAAGATGTTGATTGTTGTTGATGACAAACGAGTTGTGTGAGATGATTGATCGAAGCTTTTAAATCTTGAATGTTCTCAGTCAGATTTATTTGAGATTGTTGTTGTTGTTGAGCATCTGATGTGAAAAGTAAATAGATTTTCTTTGCGAAAATAATCTATTTCAAGTTTCTACTTGAAGATTTATTGTAATATCGATGCGAAGAAAGTGATCGCTCAGTTGAGTTACTTTCTTCAATAGTCGATGAGGATACTTGAGTATTCGATTCAGTATGATGAATATAATAACTGTTCGTATTCATGGTTGAATCGTATTTCTTTCGTTTTATATTTGGACTTAATCGACTTGATGATGATAATGAAGCAGCAGCAGTTTGTTTTGTACTTCGGGATGAGAGGCTCGGATTATACCGTTTCTTTTTCTTTCGACGAGTTTTAATTTGGCAATTAACTTGAAGTTTACTTAAGCAACATGCATCCGAATTAGATAAAGATTGAAACTGTGGATGAGGGATGTTTTTAGTATCAAATGGACAACAAGGTGTGCATGTTTGAATAACACCTGAGAAAGATTTGTCTTTGTTCACTTTTTGATTGAAGAAATTCATTCGAAAGAAAGAAAAATTTATGTTCAGTTCATATTTGGCGCTGAAGCCTAGAACAAATTGTTCGTTAGACATAGCTATGACAAGAAACAACGATCTTTTGTAGTGTTGCATAAGCACATGGTGGTCTATTTTTCTTTCTCTTAACGTGAAATATATATTCGTATTTTCAGACCAAGTTTTGTTGTCATTTGTAATGGCTCCTCCGGGACAAAAAAAGCCACAACAAGGACAGCAAAATGGACCGAAAAAGAAAGGATACAATCCATATAATAAATTCAAAAATCGACATTGGAAAAAGAAAAAGGGAAATAATGATAATTCATCGAAGGATGCTGGCGAAGAGTCAACTCGAAATCATTCACATGCTGTTCCATCAAGTCCAGTGAAAGTGATTCAAACACCGATCAGTACGCTTTTTAGAACTTAATTTCAATCATTCATTCACTTACTTTTCCTTTACATTCAGCAACTTATATTAATATTACTGAACAAACAGAACGATACCGTGGCTGGTCTCTCTATTTTCCCGATACAGGTAAAGATTTTTCAACAAAACCAACAGAATCCTATCGATTGTTTTACTTAGATAAAGAATCTGATCTTAGTTATCTGTCAGTTTGTCAATTATTCGAAAAATATTTCAAAAATACGAGAGATTTATACGATTATGTAAGTTTTCATATTGATATTCTGAATTCATCAGTTGAAGTTTTCTTCTAGGCTGCTATCGAACAGAAACAGTCATTTACGATCAGTTATTCGGAAATTCTCAATGATCAGATGTTTTTAGAAAAACAGCAAACATGGAGTTTATTCTTCTCCGATCAGAATGAAACAACAATGCGACTTATTGGTTTAGCTATGCATCAAGTAAGACATTCTTCTAATATTTACAAATACAAATCGAATCGGTTGTAGTGTATGACCGATGAACAAGAAGAAAAAGATCGTTTGGCAGCTAGTGAATGTCATCATCCAACAGTACCTCTTGTTGATCTACCAATAATTCATGCTCGCCTAGTCAATTTCACACCACAGATTCAATTAAAAGAGGTCAAAGCACAAGCTTACGGTTAGTCAGACTTTCCTTCAATATCATCAACTAGATTTACGTATAGGTAAATTCGTTTCGATTCGAGGCGTTGTTGTTCGTGTAAGTAATTCACAATGTTTGGTCATTCGACTTGCATACGAATGTTCCACTTGTCGACATACGTTTGGTGTCACATGTGAAAATGGTAAACATACCGAACCAGAACGTTGTCCAACGCCTGGTTGTACAAGTCGAGTATTCGTGCAACAACGTTCACATCCATTAACAACAATTATCGATTGGCAAACGATTCGGTTGGAATGTTTTCATTCGATTCAATAAGAAAAATTTCGAATAAATGATTCTTTTAGATTGCAAGAAGTTGCTTCTGAAGCATCGAAGGCACCGGGTCGAATTCCACAGACAATTGAATGTGAATTAACAAACGATCTTGTCAGTAGTGCGATACCAGGTGATGCCGTCGTTGTTTCTGGTATTGTTAAATTAATGGTTGATGAAAATAGTATGTCAAGTGTATTTGAATCTGAAAATGTGATCATCGCTTTGTTATCTATTTTGATCAGATGGAATGCGGAAAGTATCGGATCAATCTTTATTACAAGTGTATATTGATGTTAATTCAGTTGTTAATCAACGACTGAATACATCCGAAGGATCTATGAATGGAAATAGTCTGATGAACACGATGGACTTTTCTTTATTTGATTTGTATGGTATTCAGCAAATTCAACAACAACGAAATGTTTTGAAGTAAGTTCGAGTTGAAATGAGAATGATGATGATTCGATGAGGACAAGACTAGATTATTGGTTCATTCACTTTGTCCAAGCATCTACGGACATGAACTTGTTAAAGCAGCACTTCTAATGGCTTTGTTTGGTGGATTAGTTCGAGGTGAAGATGGTGCTGTGAGTAAACTAAGAGAATATTTCATTCTTGTCTAGAATGATTTATTTTAGTCTCATATACCTATTCGATCTGATCCACATATATTGATTGTCGGTGATCCGGGTCTTGGCAAAAGTCAGTTGCTTCACGCTTGTGTGAGTGTTGCACCACGAGGTAATATCTCTCATTTTCTTTTGTTTTTTAATGAAATTTATTTTCGCGAAAACGTATTGAAGGTGTTTATGTTTGTGGTACAAGTTCAACCCAATCGGGTTTGACTGTCACGTTGCACAAAGATAAAGATGGAGAATTGATGTTGGACGCTGGTGCACTTGTTATGGCTCATCAAGGTTGTTGTTGTATCGATGAATTCGATAAGATGGTTACTCAACAACAAGTTTTACTTGAAGCAATGGAACAACAGTGTGTATCGATTGCTAAAGGTGGAATCATGGCGAGTATACCAGCACGAACATGTGTTATAGCTGCTGCAAATCCTGTTGGTGGACATTATAATAAAGGAAAAACAGTATCAGAAAATTTGAAGTAAATTTGCACGATTGGGAAGGATCATGTTGCTTTTGCGCATTTTGAAGATTGAAAGGACCGATTTTAAGTCGATTTGACCTTGTTTTCATTCTTATCGATCGTGCGGATGATGAACTTGATTATCGTTTATCTGAACATGTTCTTGCTCAACACAATCGTTCAATTCGTTCATCACATAACAATACTACAGTCAGTTCAACTCGAACTCAATATGAAACAACGGCAGCGAATTCCAATTCGACCAACGATACTTCTCTACTTGATCATTTACGCTTGAAATCTGGTGAAACAATCGAACCAATAGGACCAAGTCTTTTACAAAAAGTAGAAATAGTTTATTTTTCTGAAGAGAAATTCTTCTCATTTTATAGTACATTGCCTATGCTCGTCGATATGTAAAACCACGTTTAACACGTGAAGCAATCAACATTTTGAAAAAATTCTATTTCGAATTACGTGTTGCTCATCAACGAGACGGTACAACTCCCATTACCCTACGACAATTGGAATCATTAATGCGACTCACTGAAGTAAGAAAAAACCGAAAATAATCAACTTCACAAAATACATTCTTATGATTTAGGCTCGTGCAAAACTCGAATTACGTGAAGAATGTACGAAATCAGATGCAATTGAAGTCGTTCAAATAATGCGAGCTAGTATGCTCGATACATATACGGATGAAAATGGTCAATTGGATTTCACACGATTACAACATGGATCCGGGATGGGTCGAGCATCTGAAGTTTGTGATCGATTTTCTCCTTAGATAACAAATAAATGTCAATTTCAGGTCAGAAAAATGATGAATGCTATTCGATGTGTCAGTGAGAAAAAGAAAAATCCTATGTTTTCAAAAGCTGACCTAAGACAAATCGCCACAGTAATTTGCCGTTGTGTATCGACAGTGATAATCAATCTTTTTTGTGTCTCTATTTAGGATATTAAAATCAATCTGGACAAATTCGACGAATTATTAACTAAACTAAATGATCACGGTTATTTATTGAAAAAAGGTTTAAATTTATATGAAGTTTCTTTAGTGGATTAGACGAAATTTATTTATTTATTTTTATGTATTAGTTTTCTATTGGATATATCTTTGTGTTGTATAGAAAAAACGAACGCTTTCGAATAAACATATCACTCTGCATAATTTCAAATGTTACCAGACGCTCAACTGGATATTCTAAGAACAAATGAAGTGACAATGAATAAAATATCAAGAAGCTTAAGAAGAGATGTCAAAAGAAAAAGTCAGACAGATTTATTTGAATTGCATCATTGATGAGAAAATGTTATTTGATCACTCACGTGGAAAATTCCTAGGCAAACATTAATGTATTAAATATCCGGCAATTAAAAGAAGTTGATCAACTTCAGTTAGATTGGAGAATACGAAAATTTATTTAAATGGTGTCCTCTATGAACTGAACTTAATTTAGTCCATATTTTATTCCAGTTGAAAGCAAATATTTTACATCAATCAATTTCCTCTGTATCACATAACAGATTTCGATGAAATCTTTTAATAGAACATTTCTTTCTGTTGTTATTCTCCATCGTAGTTACTCGAAGAAAAGGAGGGAAAAATAGTTGCTAAGCATACACGAGATTTCTCGACATTCCGCATGTTCTTGAAAGAAAACACCTCAATATTCACTCATATTAAATCTCACTCTTTTTTTTATTTGACATCGAACAAAAAAAGACAACAAACGATTGATGAATAATACCTAACATTAACTGATCAAATAATAAAGAAAGAAGAGAGACTGGCAGAAAATATATGCGTCGTCGGGATATTCATTTCGAGTCCCTATTGATTCGTCGAAGAAAAAATACACCGCACGTCGCGATAAATTATGTCCCGAATCATTCCAAATTCCAATCGTTATCAAACTAATCGCTTATCGTACGATGTTCTTGCTCCCCAGAAGGCAATCAATCGCATTCGAGCACAATCCAATGAACAACGATCGAAATTTATCATCGATACATTCGCGCATTTCTTCGCAGCAGGTATTCGAGAAAATCCCAACGCATTTCGTGCCCGTTTTCGAAAGATGGCTGCCTCACCCTTTAATTTCTATCGCGGGTCAGCCGTCTTATTCTATCAAGACTTGAAAGTCGATCAAGATCCATATGTCGCACGAAACAACGCTGCGGGACAAGTTTTCATCCATGTAAGATCATTTCTTTTTTCTGTCGTCTCAAATCGATATGTTGTTGTTTTGTGTAGGGAGATTTACACGCGGAGAACTTCGGTACTTATTTAGATAGCAATGGTATTCTAAACTTTGACGTTAATGATTTCGACGAAGGTTATATTGGTCCGTTTACATGGGATGTGAAACGTTTAATAGCGTCAATCAATTTGATTTGCTATTCGAAAGGATTTTCCGATCGAGAGATCGAGCACATTCTCATTGTATTTGTTGAAGAGTATTTAAAACAAGTTTATCATTTTTGTAAAAATGCTAAAGATCATTTTGCATTAACATTAAGAAATACCTCGGGCAAAATCAAGAAATTGCTCAATGAAGCACGTATCAAATCTCACGTGGCCCATTTAGATTCCATGACATGTATTGAAAATTATGACCGACGATTCATACGTTCGAAACATATTCAAGATGTCGATGATAATTTACGTGACAGTCTTATGCGAGCATTCCAAAAATACTTAGAAACAATACCAGAAAATAAGAAAATAGCCGAGAGAGGTTTATCCAGTGGACAATTAACTTATAGAATTAAAGATATCGTTGCACGTTCGTCACCGGGAATTGGTTCAGCCGGCAAGATTTCGTATTCATTCTTAATTGAAGGTCGCTCCGAAACATTAGAAAACGATGTTGTCCTTTATATGAAACCAGCACAAAGGTCAGCTATATCATATGTCGTTCAACATCCTGTTTTAGACGAATATTTCAAACATGATGGATTACGAACTGTTCTATGTTCATATGCAATGCAAGCGTCGACACCGAAATGGTTGGGTTATACAACACTAGGGTCAATTCCATGTTTAGTTGATGCCGTTGAAGCACATTCAGAAGATTTAGATTGGTCTGATGTAACAGACTTCAAAGAAGTTGTCGAAGTTGTTCAGTATCTTGGAAAAGCAACAGGTATGATGGATTTGTGTATGATTTTTTGGAAATGAAAAGACTATTTTCTAGCTAAAATTCATTGTGTTGCCGATTCTGACTGTGTGAACACACCAAAAGATGTGAGTCATTTACCGTTTTCAGTTATACCAAGAGATACAGAACACACGATTCGCGATGCGATTCACGGCGAAGACGATGAATTTATACAAGATATGGTCGAATTTGGCATGGTAAACATACAATGACTTTCTATTATTGATTGAAACTACAAAATCTGTTTTCTTTAGGTTTATGGTGAACAAATCAGACGTGATCATCAATTATTTTTCGAAGCATTTCGGAATAATCAATTTCCAGGACTTTAAAAATATTTAGTTGGTTTTTCTTAATATTCTTTTATTCTTCTTCAATGTTGTGATTAGCTTGTTTTCTATGAATAGATCTTGTAGCGAGGTATTATTATTCTCTTTTATTTCTCACAGAAAAAATGTTTGCCACTGACGTCAGCAAAATTCCTGACAATACTCTCTTTGTTAAAATTTTCATGTTGAAAAGCTGTCTTCCTTATCACTTGTTTTTGATCAGTACGCAATTATTACAGGTAATTTCAAATAAATATGCGTGGTGTTTTTAAAGGACACACTCTTCACTCAGAATGGTAAGTCTATAACGACGTCAATGAATGCTGTAAGCGATAGGACGCAATAATTAGCATTATCAAAGACGTTTTTTCGAGAATCGTAGGTGTGACGTCAGGTTTTTGACTTGCGTAATTAGGATTCGTCGATACTGGTCTACGTGTGACGTATATTTACTCGATCGTATCTATAATGAGTGAGAACGTATCTGTATATATATGTTTACTGAAAGGTACAGTCAATATTGCATTTTTCACTTCGCTTTCACTGCGACTACTCGTCTACCGTTCATTGGTCAAACAAACACAGTTATTTCTATAGTTAATCATCTACAATGGGTTTCTTTACTTATGCTCGTATTGGTTATGCGATATATGAGGCATACGAGGATGGCAAATTCGACAGAGTTCTTGGAAATGTTGCCAACCATTACCCAACAATGTACAACAAGGTCGGTGAATATGTACCACTAAGAGTACAAGCTCCTCAATATGGTTACAATCATGGTTATAACAGAGCCAGCTATTATTAAAAATCTGACAATAATGTTTTTTTTCTGCGTTAAATATGCGCCTGTAAAACTGTAATGATTATAGTATGCGATAAATGAAAAGAAGAAAGTATAGTCTTTCTATTAATAAAATTGTATATTTTCCTAGAATATTTCTCACGTTCTACTCGAACTCACATGACATATCTTCATCCGGTACTTTAAGTTTATGTCCTGTCGCTTCAGTTGAATTAGTTCCATATCCTTTCAACATGACAGGCGAAGTTGAATTCTCATCTATACTAACGAAATTTTCTCTGATGTGCCAATCATCGTCTGTAATTGAATTATGATAATAGTCACATACCATATGAGCTCTTATTTTCAAGGTCTAAGGAGCAGCACATCGTCATTTACAGCATTTTGAATAATGAATGAGAACGATTACTAAGCAAATAAATAGACTACTTTAGATGTTTGCATGTTTTAACGTCAGACAATTGTTTTCGATTCTCACAGTGATTTCCTCCTTGTTCTATTCGATAATATTCAATGCGTTCAGCATAGAGTATTTTTATTAACGAAAGATAATTACACAAAAAATCAGCTCCATCAAAACACATAATTAAAATTTCAACAATGTTTTCTCCTCAGTCATCAATGCTCCAGACAACCTAAGGATTAAAACCATTGGACTTTTTAAGGCTAAATTGCGACATGATTACATTAATTCAAGCTGAAGGGGAAACATTAACAAACATAGAATAGAGTAAACGATGATTTCTTCTCGCCGTATGCTATTCCGTTTGACCCCGTTCCCATCGATACCGTGCAAGCATCTAAAATACAACTATTACTCTATTTTCTCTGTGCAACAGTTCGCCGTTCTTCTCTCGTTTGCCTCAATCTTTCTATTCTATAGTAGATGGAGAGAAAAGATAGCAGTTCCTTTTTCTCCTCCTGCCTTCCTCTGTCATTTTTCTTTTTCCACTGTATTTACGTAGTTATTTAGTTTATAAACTTATTCTTAGATTGATTTGAAGCAAAATACAAATGTCACACTCGAAGGATCCTATAGTTTCCACACATACCGATCAAGTCAGCGTAACTGTTGTACGAAAATCCGACGGTCAATCGATGACATTCGTAATGGATGAGAAAACTCATGTACATGATTTGAAAATGGAATTACGAATACGATTACCGCCTCAATACGAACAAGGCTGTCGGCTAATTTTCCGTGATAAGGTTCTCAAAGGTAGACATTCATTAAAACATTATGGCATAAAAAAAGGCGTCAATGATCAAGCCATCTCAAGTACGTTGAACGCTTCCTGTTTTGACTTTGTATATACTACGTTCTTATGTCTTCTTTCTCTTTATAGTGGACGATTCAAAAGACTGGAAGTCATCCTCGTCATCATCGGATTCTGAACAAGAAAAATAGCAAGTATTTGAATTGCTATTTTTGAACATATGAACATTGTATTCATGCTAAATTTATCCATGTTTTGTAGACACATTCATTTAGTTAGAATAAAAGAAAGCAAAGTATATTGTGATTTTGTTGAGCACTCGTCAGAAAATATAAAAACAGCTATATGTCAAGTATATATATATATCATGAAAGAAGGGAAAATGCAAGTGCGTTCTTTTTTTCATGCTGTAATTATGTTTATTAGAAAAGAAATGGGAAAATTTTTTTGCTATTATTAAATTATAACCAGGATCAAAAAAGGAAATACACGACCAAATCATTGTTTCATTGCCACCAAGGGAACAAAGAAAATGATCTGTCTTTCTATTCAGACAAGCAAATCTGAAAACAAAGCCGAGATTTTATTATTTCCGATGATTTTCTATCAATAGTCTGCAATCGAGATTAGATTAGAATGTCAGAATAATATATATACACAGCAGGACATGTGGTTTATGAACACGAGAGATGCCTTGTTCATTACAGAACGAAATTGAGTGGAAGTAAATATTTTCCATAGCGATAGCTATCGAATGAAAAAAACCGCTGTTATATGAATAGTAATCACAAACTTTTTCTTCATTCCAGCACGTTATTGACAACCGGTAGTCATAGTATAGATCAAACCGGATAAAAGCCTTGACTTGTTTTAATGAGGTTTAGTCATTATTCTATTTTTAGTGAGCAGATATTAATAAGATTTTGATTATTATCTTGCTTTGTCATCTAAAGTGCTAATCTATCGCTCAAGATAGAATAGTTTTCGGAAGAAAAGTTCATTTTATTTTTAAATTCTTCAATTCTTGATTCTATGCATTTTGTTCTCAGTTATGAAGCATGATTCTGCGCACGACATAGTTCTGGGAAATTTAGTTTTTTCTTTGCAATCCATTTAAACTTTATCTGTCGCAATGAATCAAAAAAAGCGACATACAATGGAAGAGGAGGAAGTCAAACTTTCTATATAAAAACATTACCTGTGAGCATGAAAAGATCAAAGTAGTCTGTTTATTAACATAAAATGCACACATGTTGCTGTGTTCATCTACAAGTTTCTCCCATGTGAAATTTTGATATTTGGCAGTGGATGTAGAGAGAACTTCCAGTTACTATCGATTATTTGTCTTCGTATTTAGCGAGACATCGTTTCTTTAGCATGTCAGTTGCATCGATGTCAAGTGGTTTTTTTTGGTTCTGTCAGCGCTTCTGGTTCTGACGAACTGTTTAAATCATGTTGTCAATTTAAGTTTTCATTGTCTCAAATTAGAATATATCATTCCAGATTCACAGACCTGATGTCGAACCAGTCGATCTGGGATGAAAGAAAAAAAACAGCCAGTTACTCACAGAGAATTTTATCATAAGCAGATAATCGATGACGAGATCCTCAGAGATATAATTCATAAAATCGTTGGAAAAATGCAGAGGAAATGATGCACTATTTCTCAACTAATAAAGGAGCAAAAAAAGTCAGATTTCATCTACTATTTTTTCACATTTAATTTTGCCTTGTAAGAAGAAGTAATACAATCCGATTAACTTGTCAGACTTTCTCGTGCAACATATTTCGGATTTGATTGAAATCATCAGACTGTTCTTCACGCACACAGTACCAAATGAATTCTATCTCATCAAGATTATGATCACCCACAGATTTCCGTGCTGGAAATATTTCAGTAACATCACACACACAGGATGAGGATGATTTCCATTTCCAACCATGAAAGTATATCAGCAATGAAATTGATGGTTCGACTTTAAATAGTAAAATGCTAATAATGAACGAGTGAGAAGAAATTGAACTTAACTTACTTATTAATGTTCTATGTACTTTTACGAAAAAATCGAATTGGTAGTATACGTCATATTAAGCATAAAAAATAACGCTTAATAGAGAGAACAGTTATGTGTGACAATCGGAAGGAGATTGTAGTTACAAAAACCTTTCCAAATGAATAAACAAAGTGAACCTTCTATAGCTGAATTGTGTGTTGCAACAATTGACTTGAAGACTTAAAAGCTCAAGAATCCTCACACTTTCTGCAACTTCTCTTTCATCCATTGATGGTTCTCGTCTCTGATCTGAACAATAAATGATATGTCAATACTATCACATTGTACGAATTTAGTTGAACTATAAAGGATAATTATCATGTTGATTATTTTCTAGTTTAACATAGATACCAATACAAGACCAATCAATACTTCGTGGATATAAATGAGAATTAGAGATGAGATATTATATTATGTTCTCCCATATTAAAATATTTATTATTTACTTTCTTATACAATTTTAAGTATTGCGATAGAAACTTTTGTTATACCCTAAATATTGTATGATCAATTAATGAGTTAAACTCTCCAAATTCGCAGAATCAAATAAATAATTAGGTTTCTAGAAATTGTGCACTACCCTACTTGAAAATGTCTGATATATGATGAAGAGTTGCATGTTACACTATATATCAAATTTTTTTATATCAGTGAACCAAATCGAGGTTAGAAAATAATGACTACGAAAATCTCGAGAATGACCGTCTCATGTTCTTGAGTAACAACTAATTATTCACATAGTATTTGCAGTTATGTGAGTGATTAGATGAACCACATTTAATTATCAGAAAAATAGCTTTCATTTTTATTCTAGCAATTCACAAACACGAAAGACAAGTGTTTTAAACAATTCGTTATACAATTTCTTTCTCCGACAAAGTGAATTTGACTGTCATTCACAGACACAAAAATACAATCAGAGGATATCGTTTTTTACTTTTTGTTCACATATCAAATCTTCACAATAAATCGTTTAATTATTTTTCAGTTCTTTGTACTTTTGTTGAACAGTAGTCGATGCTGGAGATTTATCAATGAGTTTCAATATATATAACAGCATGACTTCGTTTATCTTTCTATCTAGCGTCAGCATAAGCTGCATAGCTTGTGTTACCCATAAATATACAAGACAAAGATGCAGTGCACGTCACAAGGAAAAAGTTGAGAGAAGGAGGGAAGCTACGTGTAAAAAATTGATTTGCTGAATGATAGCGATTGAATAAGTGTGTTCTCCTGTTGGACTAAAACCGTTTGTGAAGAGCTAAAACTCGAAATACCTTGTTTTCTTCGTCAGCCATTTATGTCAACTTCTGTTATCTTTTGTCTGACTAAGTAATTTACTCGTACTGACGAACAACAGCGGTACATATCATAGAAACAAAGATACACGTGCTGGTGCGATCAGTGTCGACTGCCAACTGACCTCTGAACTAACTGTAGAACATGAAGAATTTTTACTTTCTTGACAATCAATAAGAAAAGGAAACAAAGGGTCTATATTATTATTGACCAAATTTTGCAGCGATAATGACGATCAAGGATTAACAGCTATTAGTTGTGAGGGAGCAAGAGACATTTAACTTTAGAGAGATGTAGTTCATAAGATGGCAAGGAAGAACGGTAATGAATAATGGACGCGATCAGCTCTACGTATTCGTAAATACGAACTCAAATTTGAAAATATTCACGAATAACAAATGTACTATGTGATCGTACGAGGAAAATGATTGATACGAAATATTACCAGAGAAGACAATAGGTACTATGCTGAACGACGCGTAAATTGTCAAATACGTGTTGAGTCAATCTAGCTCAGTTTCCATATTAATGTCCATTTGAAAAAGTGTGTTGTTACGAAAATGCTATGATTTGTATATCTACCATATATCTCTTACAAATTCATCATATTGTTTACGATCGTGACATTGTTAGATACAAGTACAAGGCTTTTGTATTCATTGCCTTTTATCCCGTTTTTTTGTTTTAAGCTAACAACATACAATTTTTTGCATCACATTACCATTTCAAATTGACCTGATGATGATTGGACCAAATTCCATTGAAATCGATCATCATAAATTGCTTTAAGTTTATTTATCTCAATTATCCTTATGCTCATAACCACCACCCTCATTTGAATCGTATTGGAAAACGTGTATAGCTGCCATTTTATGAAACACGATCTGGAAGGGAGTGTTGAAGGTTTAGGGGTAGAAATTTGGACCCACCTCTGCCCCTCCTCCCACAGACTATGACTGACAGGTTAACAAAGACACCATAGACATGAGCAGATATGCGTTTTGTATCATACTTCTTTTGTGCTCCTATGAAGAACCTAATCAAGCAGCTCACATATTAAGCAACCTATAGACCAAACTCAGTCTTTCGGAATGAGAGTTGCGTCGTGTTTCACATTTTAATCCCATAGGGATTAATCTCAAAGCTTTTTTATCGGCATGAATATTTGTATTGCTCAAGATGTTTTATTAGAATTGAAAAATTGTCAAAATATAAATAAAAAGAAGCCAAGTCAGAAAATAAGAGAAGAAAGATAGACGAATCGAAAAAGTGCGCACATGAAACTAACTACTTGAGTATATCGAATGACAAAAACAGTCTTAAATATTGGGTGTTCAATTGATTCTGTGCCTTGTTAACTAAAAGAAAAACCAGTAACATAATTCAATATTATAAAATACAGAATATGGAACTTAAAACACGTATGCACAATTGATATGATAAGTTACTATCGTCACGTTCTCAATCAGTTAGTGCAGAAAGACTTTGTTGAATAAAATGCGTACCTCTTTCAATTTAAAGGAGCAAGACACAAACAATGACATTGACCATTGCTAGGATCCGCACAATCACCTGCTTCACAAGGTGGATTGGGATAATTGTCAGTGGGTACATCTTTAAAAAAATTTACGCAACGGTTATCACCGCAGCATTTGCTATCTGTGTTACAAAAGCCAGTAAATTGCACACATTCATTTTTTTTTATCAAATAACGGAGAAGATCAACTTTTCTCATGCCATGTATCATTCGTGCTTGTATTACACAGTTTGTTGTCATGAAAACCAGAAGGATAGTCAAACATATCATTTGATTGAGTTTTTGCATTGTTTTTTTGCTAATGTTCGACTTTGGATAAAAGAGCAGTACACAGATTCAACAGAATATGTAAATAGTGAATCTACAGTAGTACTTAGATTTATTATATACGTGGATTGTCGAGCGAAGAGGAATGTATTAGGGCAAAAAACTGCTTTCTCATTGATAGAGAGAGAGATTTTTTGTTCACGGATGAATGTGTATATCCTCACCGTTGCAAACATCAGTCATCCACATATTTCGATAATAATAGCATACTCTTGCTACCTTCAATGGTAGATATTTTTGAAAAATTGCTTTCCTTCTTACTATTTTGTTCGCATTCGACCTTTAATGAGAAAAACAAGCTTTGATAACAAACTATGCACTTTTTACAATCATCATTCACGTATGAGGCGTTTCTATACATTGAAAAAATCAACAAAAAAATACGTCGACATACAATCCATCAGCGAAGGTGAAATCTCATCTATATCAAAAGATAATAATGAAAAAATATGTACTTGAAGAAAAATAAATTAGAATGTGTATTTTGAGGTTTTTATTATGATCATTTTTCGGTATTTAAAACGTAATAGGATATATTTTGAAAGTCTATGAAAGTTTTTGTTATCTTACAAAGTATGATTATAAAGTTGAATGATTTCATATCAAATAAAACAACATTTTTCTGCTAAAATCAAGAGAGATGTGAGCAGCACTGATTATGATGCAGATGAATCATTTATAGAAACAAATGGTTTTATTAAATAATGTTTTCTTATCTTCAAATAACTGATTTTTTTATTGCAGTAATAAAATGCAAATGTTCGATCATTTTGATAGAAAATACTTTCACTAGTCGACGATATTGCTGTTCGTCTTGTTTGATATTTGTTTAAAATCTGGAAAGAATCGAAAGATGAACAATATTTGTCAAATTTCAGAGAAGATTCTTTTTCTTTCGAAGGATCTTGACTAGAGTCGGACTCCGGACACAGGACGAAGCAAATATTTGTACATAAAATCTTTTTTTTCAAAACTTTCATTTTTCCTTCCTTTCTGATTATCTTTTATTTACTAATTGAAAGAGGAAAATAAAAACAAATATTTGATAAGTGTTAATGAAGTGCAGGTCTCGATTCAAAATCCTTGGACTCAACGGGCTTTACTAGATATAGAATGATGACGATAATAAAGATGAAATATTTTGTCAGAGGAACAAAATTTCCAGTTAGTGTGAATATATTTCGACAAACACACAAGTTTATTAAATAATTCCATTTGAACTTTTCAGATTTGAAAATGAATGCAGAACGATTTTCTTCAGATTTCCAGACACTGTCGATTGTTTCTCTTCATATTTAGCGAGAAATTGTTCCTTTTGCATGTCAGTTCCATCAACTTCAGGTTTGTTGGCCTGTGTCAATGCTGCTGATCCTTCAGGACTATCTAAACCATGTTGTCGATTTAAACTTTCATTAACATAAGCTTGTATGTCATATTCTGATCTTTTCATTGTGAAATAATGACACGCGCTCAAAAGTTTCACCCAAAAAAATCTTTCAACAATAGGTGGCAATGAACGACATCTACATACATCGAATCAGACTCGTCAATTGTTATTTTATGAATGACTAAATGCCTGCAAAACTATTAGTTAGCTTAGTGTACAGCGAGTGAAGCTGATTTACTGATATATTGAAATTCTATGGTTTGATTCATAAAAAATTAACAACATAATATATAATGTCTATGTTAACACGACCAAGTGTTGTTTTTGCTATTGTATTTGGTTGTTTTGCAGTTCTCATACCACGTGTTTTTGTGCCACTATTTCGTCCAAGACAATCTGCACCCGTACATCAACAATATGAACGTAGGAGTTTTCCTATTAATAAAAGTAAATACCACCATTCACTTCCTACAGATTTTCGACGACAATCATCACCGCCAACAGAATCAATACCACGAAATGATAACGATGATAATCGCGAACATGCATCGGTTCGTACTCGTTATAGATTACAGGACAAAAGCATATTAAAGATGTATTTCATTCTAGGATTCTTTTGCACATACGCGCATGCGTCATCCCCATGCCGAACATCAGCAACAATCAATAACGGATCAAGTTGGTCCAAAATCAGCTGTTAAATTTGCTTTACCTATGTATACTGTTGGTATTGCAATCTTTTTTCTCTATACATGTTTCAAAGTATGCTAACTGATTCAAAGACTATTCCAGATCAAATATATTCCTTTGCTTTAGTATTGGGCAAAACGAAATACTGACGAGCATAGGATTAAAAGCCGCTATTCGAGTAATAATATTCAATGGAATGGGCAGAAAAAAAAGTTTAAGTATCATGTGAATATTCGTCAAGAACAGAATGAAGACGATGATGATGATGAACTCTATGCCGGTATACAAACTTCTTCAGTCTTTCAAAAGATAATATTATTTTGTCTTTGTAGGACTAGATCCTGATTATGTCGAATACTTACGATCGAAAAAACAAAAAGAGCTTAATGCTGAACAAGCGCTAACGAGGGAACAAAGACAAAGTATGATGGTTGAAATTTAAAATTGTTGATTTTATGAAGAAGATATTTTCAGTGCATAACACACTTGATGAAATGAAACATTCATTATCATTTATCAGTTCGAAACTTGGTGCAACTCAAACGGGAAATAGTCTGACCAGTAATGAAATTTCACAATTACAAGATCGACTTGCTTCAACCGAAGCTCAAATGTGTAAAATTTTAAATGCGCTCGATATTGCTTCGAATCAAGTGAACAAATTAACTCGAAGTACTCGACAAACACTTCAACACCAAGTACAGCAGGTAAATGCATAGAGACGATCGTCTAGTCATTCTAAGCCGATGTCTTTTGTTTTAGGAAAATACTATAGACAATGACGATGACGAAGGAGAGAATCGTCATTTATCATCGAGATCACAAAGTGAAAGTGAAGAAGACGATGAAGAAAATTCGAATAGTGAAGAGCATTCATTACTTTCAGACGAACAGAGAAATGTTGAGCATGATGAACAAGAAAGTTCGTCGTCGTATGAAGAAGATGGAGAAGATGAAGTGCCAATTGAAGATAATGAATCGGAGTCATCATCATCGGAACGTTACGGTTTAATGACAACAAACTATGAATGTGATCCATCGGCAATCGTCGATTATGAATTGGATACGATCAAGAAACCGGACGAAACAACTGACAGTCAAACAAAAGTACATGAGTGGAACGAACGTCACCATTCTCAATCAATAAGTAGTAATTCATCCAATGAACAAGATCAATCAATACCGAACGACGAACAAAAATCAAATGAAAATTCTATGTTGGATATTCGGAATGAATAGGCGTGTACTCGAGAAACCAACTAGAACATAAATGACCGCTCTTTTACTTCTTCTATTAAGTCATGTAACAACAAAAGACAAATGAAGCGAAGAAGATAATCACGAGCGCTAAAGACTTGTAGATGTGCCACTAGATGGCGAGATATAACAGAAAACTACGTCGTTTTATTGTGTGCAAATTTTTCTATTAGTTATCGTCTAGTCATTGTAAATTTTCTCTTTTGTTTTATTTGTAAATAATGTCGTGTACATTCAATTGTTTTATTTTGCTTTTAGATTGAAAATCATGGCGGATCGTTTCAAAAATGTTCGTGTACCTGGTCCAAACGACAATGTCTACAAAGACGAATGTGTTTATTCATTTGATAATCCAGAATCTGAACATGGTCTTTATATTTGTATGTCGACATTCCGTGGTGTAGGAAAAGATCATTTAGCACGACATTGTCAAACGAATCCAGGAAAAAATGTTTTCTTACAAATTCTTCGAAGACGAATACCTGTACCCGTTAATCCAAATGTTGAACCAACGAAAGTAACCAAATTAGCGATTGGTGTCGAAGGTGGCTTTGACACTAATCAATCGAATCGATTCACATTCGATGAAAAATACACGATTTATATTCATCCAGATGAAACAATTGCCTATCCGAATGAAGTACAACAACTACCTGATATTGTCAAACGAGCAGCTGACGCAATTATTGCGGCTGATTCCGCTTTTTTGAAAGAAGAACGTTCGTTAATGAATATAACATGGAACGGAGAAATACGGCCAGTAACAAGACATACATCAACGTTAGAACAGTTGAATAACGGAAAAAAAATTCCACCAAGTGGATGGAAATGTCAACAGTGTGATTTGACAGATAATCTATGGTTGAATTTAACTGATGGAGCTATTTTATGTGGACGAAAGTTCTATGATGGAACTGGAGGAAACAATCATGCAATCGAACATTACAAAAAGACGAAATATCCATTAGCTGTTAAGCTCGGTTAGTTAGAAGAACTAGATGATAAATCTTGTTTAGTTATTTGATCGATAACTATGTTGTTTTCTTCTAGGAACGATCACTGCCAAAGGTGCTGATGTGTACTCTTATGATGAAGATGAAATGGTTGAGGATAAAAATCTTGCGATTCACTTATCACATTGGGGCATCAATATGTTAAAAATGGAGCAAAGCGATCGAACAATGGCTGATTTAGAAATTGAATTAAATCAAAAATATGATGAAGCATCCGCAATCGAAGAAGCTAATTCAAAATTACAACCTGTCTATGGACCAGGTAGATAAACATGCTACCGATTCCATTGTAGTCCACTATTTACTATTTTCAGGTTATACGGGAATGAGAAATTTAGGCAATTCATGTTATATGAATTCTGTTGTTCAGGTCCTATTTACTCTCAGTGACTTTCAAGACAAATATTATAAGCATTGTGATTTCTATTTCGATACAGCGAAGGATCCTGCTCATGACTTTAACGCTCAAACAGCGAAATTAGCATTTGGCCTTCTATCTGGACAGTATTCAAAGCCACTTCCTACTACTAGTGATCCAACATTGTATCCACCGTCAGGTATTCGTCCTCAAATGTTTCGATCATTGATTGGACGTGATCATGCCGATTTCGGTACGAAACAACAACAAGATGCTGCTGAATTTCTTCAATATTACATTGAGCAAGTGCATAATCATTGTTTGAAAGATCCAACACCAGATCCAGCATTAGATCCAAGTATTTGCTTCCAATTTGAATTGGAGGAACGAATCTATTGTCCAGATACAAATCAAGTTCGTTATATAGCTCGACCTGATTCGATGCTTCGATTGAATGTCCCATTGGAAGCTTCGAGAAATATGCACGAAGTTCTTCAATACAATGCAACAAAAGAAGAACTAGAAAAACAAGGACAAAAAACAGACGACTTACCAATTGTACGTCCAATTGTTCCACTGAAAGAAGCTATTGCACATTGGGCTGCACCAGAAGAAATCCATGATTATATTTTACCACGTGATGGTCGTCGAACTACAATTCGAAAAACGCAAAGATTTCAAAATTTTCCAGATTATCTCTTCCTTCAATTGAAGAAATACACATTCAATCCCGACTGGACACCAAAAAAAATCGATGTATCCATGGAAATTCCTGATGAAATCGATCTGAATTCACTGCGCGGAACAGGTTTCCAACATGGTGAAACATTGATGCCAGAAGGTAAAAGTCTCACTATTCATTTGAATAGCAAGTTAGATTTTAATTACTTTTATTTAGAGGATGCAACCACAGGGGCTGCAGCAAGTTCAGGATCGGCTGTTCATGTTAATGAAGTTCTTCTTCAACAACTTGTCGATATGGGCTTTTCAACTGAAGGTTGTAAACGTGCGTTGATCAACACAGGAAACAATGATGTTGAAGCTGCAATGAATTGGGTATTCGAACATCAATCCGATCCCGATTTTGATACACCTTACCAAGCACCAAGTAAAAAGGCTCGAGTAGAACAAACACCACCAGTGAGACCTTTCTCTCCTACCAATGCTTGTCATCTAGATTTATGCATAATTGAAATTTAGGTTGATGAAGAAAGTGTGGGATTAGTTATGTCCATGGGCTTTTCACGTTCACATGCTGTTCGTGCATTGACAGTATCGAACAATAACGTTGAAGCAGCTGTGGATTGGGCTCTCAATACACCAGAAGATAATTCTGCGTTAAGCACTCTAATTCAATCATTACCTCAGTCAGCACCTGTAGAACAACCGAAATCACGATTTCGTGATGGCACTGGCAAATATCGTCTCATTGCTCTCATATCACATATTGGCAAACATCCATCATCTGGTCACTATGTTGCCCATATTCTTAAAGAAGGCCGCTGGGTGATCTTTAATGATGAAAATGTGGCACTCTCCGAACATCCACCAAAAGATTTAGCTTATCTTTATTTATATAAACGTGAAACGGCTTAATCAATCGGTCCATCACAACCCAGACATTCCTCTCTCTTCTTCTTTCTCTTTTGTTATACTTCCACTTTCTTTGTTATTTTAAACCAGTTGAATACGCGTTAACTCTAAGCATTCAAACCAAGATTGTTATGCACAGATTCATACTTTTTATCTTTACTTCTTCTTTTGTTCTTTAGATGTATACCAATTAGAAATTCTAATATTTCTATTCTTGCTGTAAGCTAATCCACGATCAATTGAAATTGTGTTCTTCACATTCCAATCTCTCTCTCTCTATCTTAACATACAAAGAAGAAAAAATGTCCGCAAGTAGTGAAATGCAAATTCGTCGTACAGCGACTTCACGGCCGACAGGTGCCGGCTCACATTTATCCTCAACTGGTACACCATCGTCAGCTAGTACTCACAAACGAAAACACGACTCTGTTCTATACAGTGATGCTGCTGTTCGTTTCAATGAAAATAGTCTTGAACAATGTCGAACATCTGTTAGTGCACTTTCTGGTTGTGTTGCAGGTATTATTGGTTTAACATCTTATAAAGGATTTCTCTTCTATGGTTTCTCTATGCTACTATTATCATTTCTTATCTTTGTCGTCATTCGACGTGAACATCGCAAGTTTTTTACTAATTTAAACCACGTTTTCGTCAATGGATTTTTCAATGGTCTGCTTACATATGTACTCTTCTGGACATTTCTCTATGGAATGGTGCATGTTTATTGAAAAAGCATGAATACAAAAATGAACAGCTAACTGTAATAGCATAAAGTAGTGTTTCAGATTTGTTTCCTTTTTTATAACTGGATTGTTGTTGTTGCTGTTTCACTGAACAGAAAAAGAAAATTTCCAGAATAAACTTTATACACTCAATCACTACTTCTAAATTGAACTACGTAGAATCTACTTCGTGTAATCTAACAAACGGAGAACGTGATATAAGGAGTCTTATATGCAAATTAGATATTTTAGATATGAAAATCAAGCCAACGAATTCTCGTTCATCAAATTCTTCTTCAACAGCATCATTGGTCTACACAAATAAAGTTTCAGTACGCTCATCACTGGAAAGTAATGACTGTTACGCTATTGATTTGAGTCTAAATAGTACTGGAAATCATATTGCTGTACTAACTATTCCGAGTACAATTCAATTGTTTGATGCAGCAACATTAAAACAGTTGTCATCCCTTTCATCTACTTCAAACAACTTCGATAGTGCAGATTCAACATCGTCAATTACTATCAGTGCTATCCAATATGCTTATGTTTCACCCCATACTCTACTTGCTTCGACAAATAAAAATTTAGTTCTCCTGTGGGATACAAGAACACCACAACAAGAAACAGTTCAGTTGAACGGATGTGCGGATGAACACAATTTTCTTTCTGTTACATCTAATAGCGAAGATCTATTAGTCGCTGCTGGTACTGAACTGAAAGGTGAAGAAAATGTCGCAGTTGCATTTTGGGATTTACGTGCACCGATCAATAGACAATTGTTAGGGTATTACACAGAATCTCATTCGGATGATATCATTCATGTTGAATTTGATCGAACAAATTCGAAAAAGTTAGTCAGTGGATCAACTGATGGTCTTGTCTGTCTGTACGATGTTGGCAAATCGACAGAAGAAGATGCGCTTGAACAGGTATCGTATTGATTTTGAAATCGTGAATAATCCAGTCGGTTTTCTTTTCCAGGTTTACAATGCTAATGGACCTGTCGCTAAGTGTGGTTTTGCTCAATACAATACTGTTTATGGTATCACTGCATCGAATGCTTTTTATGTATGGTCAACATCCGATGACGAACAACAACAACAAACTCTTGTTCAGGGAGACACTGATAGTGATATTCTTTCGAAAGAGATTCCTTTGGAAACATCATCGAAAGTGATTCATCATCTTCCATCAACACATTCAACGATTGTTGACTTACTTACTGACAATAAGATCAATAATCTACTACCATCTGCTTTTCATGAAACAAAGTCCAGTTGGCCATTGCTAATGTGTGATCATATGGGTAAAATAAATATTACATTAGTCTCATCCGAGCAATCTGAACCAATCATATTATCTCTTCATTCACCTCATTCGGAAACAATCCGAGCAGCAACGACATATCAATCATCGCTATATTCTTGTAGTGATGATGGACAGCTAGTTCGCTGGCAGTCATCATCTGCAATAGATGATCACGATGACAATAAAAAACAAGCACCATCAAAGAAGAAATCAAACAATCGAAAGCCTTACTAAATATTTTTGTTTTTTTTCTGTGGTTTTAACAAGATAGTATACATCTTGTTTAATAAAAAGAAATGATTTTGACAATAAGGTCAGAGATTATTGTTTTTCACACTTAAATGTTATTTTTCTCGCAATTAAGTATGATGCATTTCGGCATATTTTTCTTATTTGATGCTACTATCCAATTATGTGTGTATATATATATATAGACGCGATGCTTGTTGTGTTTCTTCATCGGACAACTATTAGATCGGCACTTCGCTTTGATCGTCTTCAAAGGAATAGACGGATTAAACATCTAAATATGTGTGCATATACGTTACTGAAATGTATTTTTCAAATTTTTTCTCTTTCCATCTGGGAGTGTCTTGACACATCAATAATGACGAAACGATCGCCGACGTGTCGGTTAGACGGAGAAAAAAAGACGAATTGAACAGAAACGAAAAAAGAAGAAAGACAAACGTCCATATATTTGATAGGCTATCATTTCGTTAACGTTTTCTTCTATATACGAAAACAATTTCAACGCAAATTGATCACTTTTGTCGAAATCTTCAGAAATCATGTCTTTCAGTGATACTGAATGTTCACATCGTTCATCGTTAGCTCATCGAGTACCAGCAAATAATGCTCCTCAATCGTCGCGAACAATTCCAGCCCATGAAATCATTTCTAATCCGGAAACATCAAAATTATTTCTGGAATTTCTCCTGAGTTCACCTCAAACAGTTACACTTGGCTCTGTTTATGCGATTGTCTTAGTACTAAACGAAAAAAAAGACGATCTCCATCAACTACATGAAATCGGACGAGCAGCGTATAAAACTTACATTGAAACTGAATCGGTTCTACCTTGGTTACCTATGCAACGTCGATTAGAATTACGTGATTTGTACCGTCGAAAACAATTCAACGAACATTTCTTCGATGGTGTCGTCGATGATCTCCTAATCTATCTAGAAACTCAAACAGATGTCTTTCGACAATTTCTCAATTCCAGAGTTTGGAATGAATATCGACGGGAAAAGTTCACGAAAAATCCTGCCCAGATTAAATCAACATCGACATTAGTGAATAATACAAGTAATTATCAAAACGAAAGTGATCTCAAGCGCTCTCGCAAACTTCATTCATCATCGTTATCCTTACAAACAAAAGGCAAGTCGAATGATCGACACCCACATCATCATCATCACAATCGAAGTGTTCGAATCGAATGTATGAAAAGTTAATTTTTTTGAAAATATTTCATTGCTCATGTGTTTGTGTTTTTTTAGCAACATCAACGAAGAAGACACGTGTAGCTTATTTTCTACCTGATAGTGATACCCCATTTGTTATTCAAGTCGCTGTTCCTGTTGAATCTATTACATTGAATGATATTCTCCCACGATTGCATATCTCCTCAGTAAATCAACGAAATAATCCGAGTACAAATACTTCACTGGACTATTTCGTCAAGCATCGAGCTTCGAATGAGAATTGGCTTGGTGGTGATACACAATTTATCAATGAAAAAATCGATGACTTCGATCAACCGCTTCCGAATATTGATGGAACGGTAGTCATACGAATTTTGAACAATAGTTAGATTCTACGAATTGTTTGTTTTCTTTGTGTTCTCTTTATGAATGTCAGACGACTCTTTTTTTTGTTGTATGAATTATTGAGTAATGAAGATATTTGAATGATTCATAAATTTCAAACACAGTGCGAATGTACAGGAACTAAATGTTTTTGTAAATGAAAAAAAATAAGAAAGAAGTACATTCTCGAGTTGTTTTTTCGTTGAAAAATCAGTCATGTGGAAAGGCACAAGTGATATGTATACATATATACGACTATTGATGATGAGTAAAGCAAAAAAATCGAATATACGCGTATACCAATAGTTTGGACATTCATCGATGTAAGTAGCTTCTGTGTAGTGGAACAACATCATAGATAATTTAATGATCCGAGAGCTAAATCTGTCTGGAATTGCTTTCATTAGTAATTCCCTTCGTTTTTCGACGAGACGATGAGTCATCTTTGAAGTCATGTTTTTCTTATTCTCTGCATGAATACTTCGCAACAATGCAATTAGAAACCAATGTCGGCAATGATTTTTATTAATTTCGATTATTGATGTCTAACTTCAGATTTGATCCAAGGATCGTTGTTTTAGAGATAATTCATTATGGTAGTACTTACGACAGATGTGATTGTAGCATTAGCAGTAATTGCAGTTGTCCTGATTCTGATTCTACTTATTCTTTTGGTAAGAAAAACAGTCCGATCGAGATGGGTTTTGGAATACGATGAATATTTCGTATTTAGATCTGTTGTTTATGCCGTAAATGCGATCAATGTGCGCGATGGTCACGACGTAAAGCAAACGATCAAGAGGATGCGAGACGAGCAGCGGAACTTGCTGATTCTCGCCGTGAATTCAATGAAATCCGACAACAACACGAAGTGGTGCGCGATCAACTCCGAGTGAAATATAATCTTAATGGTGGCAATTCTAACGCTGAAGTTATTCCATAATTCGATGTTGTTTTTTGCTTTCTTTTGTATATCTTTTCTTGACATTGTGTATTTATATTCAATGGTCTTGAACAAATGATGATGATAAATGTGTTGTGTTTTATCTTTTGATACACATCGAATTCTGTGAACATAAAAAAAGTCAATATTTGATCGATGTCTATTACACTTGAGGAGCTAGTGGCTGTCTAGTCTAACACCTATAGCAATTTACAAAATTGACATAGATGAAACGTGTTTTGTCTCACGCGACAAATGTCTCTGTTCCATATTACTTATGAGAATCGAATTAAAATACATTTGTCTTCTCCCTTTCTCACTAGTCTTCTCATTTCTTCGTTCTTTTATGCTGTGGTGTATATAGAAAAGTTCAACTGTTCTATTCGCATCAATTGTCCCTTCTGTTATTATTTTGCTGCTGTCGTTGCTGCTTGATTAACACAGTGGGCACACACATCTAACAATAAGTGACAAAGAAATGAGGTCAAGTTCGATACAAGGTTTCTTTCTTCATACTAGACGAAAAGAAATATTTTGACGCTCAATATCACAAGACATTACACTTTTATGTACATTCAATAAGCACACATATTTGTTATATTGAAATATGTTAAACACATATCTTCGAAATCAGTCAAGTAAGACTATCAGTAGAAGAATTGGAGAAATGATTACAAGGTTTTCATTGATAAGAACAAACATATTTATATAACATAGTTGCTGTTATCTTTTGATTCTGTCATTGGATGACATATCAGTAATGAATGCGAAGATGCAAATAATTAATCATTGACTTTCTCTCTTTAGGACTGTCAGACAGTTATTTAGCTTTTGAATGTATTTGTTATTCGAGAAAGAATACAATAGAACTTCTTAGCTCTGTAGTTTTTTTTAAAGCTTTCCATCGGAGAGACGTGTGTTTTGTACTGAGTAGTTCTATTCGAGAATATTCTTTTTTGTAGAAAATACTATTCTCGATCTAGATGACGAGAAAAACCTAAGATGACAGAAAGAAGGAAAGGCAAAAGAGTGACGATTGAACAATTTTTATCCTCTACTATTCCCATCGTCATTTTTGACAAGCAAGCTAAGAAGAAGAAGGAGAGGAAAGAAAAGTTCGTGTATTATAGTAAGACGTGTTGGCGGACACCCGATCCATGTTGATGGAGGAGAAGAAAAGAAAAATAGGGAAAAAAAAACGGGTTGAGATAGCTTCTTTGTAACTAGTCTGAAGAAGTGAGAAACGACCGAGAAAAGAAAGAAAAGAGAACAAACAACGGGTCGTTGCTTGATTAAATCAGGCAGCTAAGGCATAGATGACGTACTGCTAGTGCCCGAAACTGAAGAAAGAAAAAAAGAGGAAAAAAGAAGACGATGCCGTAGAAAAAAAAACTATAGGCGTCGATGTCTTTTCTTTTCCGTTTTCCCTTTTTTCCTCTTTCTCTCTCTCTCGCTTCCTAACCCTACTTTCTGCTATTGTGCGTGCAGAATGCAACACACACAACCCAAATTCCTCGTCATTCTCTCATCATTTGCTAGTACAAGAAACAACAAACGAAGACAAATATACACCCACGTCTAGCGGACTGATCAATTCTACTATCTTTTTTCTCTTCTCGCGATCGTTTTTCTCGACATTTTCTTAAAAACGAAAAACAAACATCACTCTAACGTTCAACACATCGTACGTCTATATGTTCTTTGGATTGGTCCGTAAACGACAATCAGTAAGTTTATTCTTTTTCTCTTTTACTTAAACAAATGCACAGTGTTGTGTAATCGAACAGTACCAGGTGCCAAGCGTATATTGTTAACTCTTTCAGTCATTCTTTTGCTTTTTCCTGTTAATTATTGTATACGTAACATAAACCGAATATAGGTGAGTCTTAGCATTGGATGTATATCGTTATCGAAAATCGGCAGCTGTTTTCATGCATGCATCTAATCGATATTAATCGATTAAAACGAGACAGTTTATTTGAAAATGAGTGTGAAATACTTTAAGACGGGACGTTTTCAATAAATATATATTTCTAGATGAAGGTCTTTTCGTAATAATTCTTTCGTTGAAGAAAAAGGCCTAGAATGNAACCGAATATAGGTGAGTCTTAGCATTGGATGTATATCGTTATCGAAAATCGGCAGCTGTTTTCATGCATGCATCTAATCGATATTAATCGATTAAAACGAGACAGTTTATTTGAAAATGAGTGTGAAATACTTTAAGACGGGACGTTTTCAATAAATATATATTTCTAGATGAAGGTCTTTTCGTAATAATTCTTTCGTTGAAGAAAAAGGCCTAGAATGAGATGGCTTGAAATTGTCCCACTAATGATAACATGTGTGTATAAAACGAAGAAGAAGAAGAAGCAAAGAAAAGACGCGCAAGAGTGAGAGAGTAAAGGTAAAAGTATGTGTATATGAAGAGTGGAAAAGTTGGAGGCCGTTCATATATATATGCATACGCATGGTAGTACTTTGACTCTTGCAAAAAAGGGAAGAAAAGTAAAAGTATCGGAATAAGATACGAATATCGTATGAGCATACGAACGTTTGTATGCTCTCGAGTAAGCGAATATGATTTATCTATCGCACGAAATCGTGCGCATGTTAGTGATGAGGGTTACGATGATACAGGATGATAATAGTAATGTTTAATGTAAAAGAATAAGGATTGAACAGTATAGCTATCTATCGCTTAATCTTTTAGGTGAAAGAAAGAAGGTATTTATTACAAAATTGATCTTCAAACAAGTTTTCTCTTTGTCAATAAAGATTTCAATCAGAAATAATCAATCGAATTCGTAGGTTTTTTTCATTAGGAACAAAATGATAGACAAGTAAAACTAATCAAATAATTATGTTTTTATTCGATTTCCTTTATTCGCATTTTTCCTCTTTGGGTGTAATCATGCGTTTCAAGGTTAGACTAAATCGATGCGATGCATCTCATCCTAACAACTCAATACATCAAAGTAGCCATTTGAGAAAACATCTGCATAAGTCTATTATTGATTCTCGTCGCTTGTTAGAATCCCGCCTTTTTTTGTTCTTCCGTTTGTTTCTCTCTTTCTGCAATATTCTCCTCATCGTATGAGACAACGATGGCAATATCGAAGCCTTGTATGCTCGTCTTTACTTCCTATCATCACTTGTATATTCGGCCTTTGCATCAATCTTTCTAGATGAGAAAAGAAAGAAGTCAAGTCTTATATTATATACATCGATATTATCTTACTATAACTAAATAATAAGGAGAGGGAGAGGGAAGAAAAACAAATCCCTTCGTTTCTGGCTAAAAATGCCAGATCCTTTGATTGAAATCAACAACAAGAAAAAAGCACACTTGTATTTTCGTGCATTTGCGTATGAACAGCATTTCAATTTTCTTCTCACCATCTCTTGCTCTTTCTGCTTGTTTACAAGCATACACAACCTCTCTAATAAGAAATTTTATCGATAATGACGGTCCTTTTTTCGTTTCGTCGGGACAACTTCGTAAGAAACATGTAGTTCACATATCACCACTGTTACTATTCTCATCATCATTTTCATGAACATTTTCATTCTCTTTCGTCTATCAATGTCCGATGTTGAAATATAGTTGGCAAGCTTATCATCATTAACACGTAGTGTGAGAAAAAA